GGCTGCCACAGGATTAGAAAGGGGATATTGTACAAACCTGACCCTTGCAGGAGAGTTCCCCCACCCCACGTCCCCCTTCTGAATGAGCTGTTCTTGTTGCTCTCTGAATCACCACATCCAAATCTCATCATTCTAATCATTTTACCAGATTATCTTTTTAAGAATAGCATCAAAAAATAAAGCTAAGAAAGGAAAAAGGAGCACTGCTTACCGTAAAATGAGTTTAACTTGGAAGTTCGAGTGAAATAGTTAGCAGGTAAAACAAAAAGTGATAGACTTAAAGTGAGCCATGGCTGAAGAAGGTGCTCGACGTCTAAGCACCACAGTGACTCCTCTGGCTCTGAGAATGGGGAATGGGCTTGCCTGTGTCTCGCCTGGTGGAAAAGCCAGCAGAAACCTGCTTTTCAGAACTCCCAGAGACAGAATTGTTGACAACCACAGGCTGTGGCACTGTGGGATTTTGTTGGACACATTGCAAAGGAAAACCACCAACAGCTGTCTGAAACTGGTTCTTTTATTACGATTTGATTAATAAATCCTATACCATGAAACTAAGCAGATGAAAAACCAGCCTTCATTAGGAAGGCAGTAGGGTAGGCTGAGAAAGATGGTGTTGCTTTGTCCAAGTCAATAGGTTGTTATCAACTTGAACCTCCTCTGTACATGCCATGGACTTTGCAGCCCTGGAATTGTGCAGATGAAGTGAGAAGTATGGCACTGTCCCATGGGAGTGCTCCCTCTACCCACCGGGGAGGCTGATTGACATACAGGAAATCAAAAGACCATGGAGCAGAGTATGGGATCATGTTTAACTGCATGGAGCAAGTATGAGTGGGTGTGGAGAGGCATGAGTTGTGTCCTTTCTGGGCAGGGTCTCTGTTGGGAATTAGAGCTGTGGACTTAGCACTCAAGGTAGAAATTTCATAAATAAGTTTCAAATAAAGGTCGTCTATGTTTTTATTTACCCGTAATTTTATCCTACCCAATTTTGTTTATTTTGTTTTATTTACTGCCTCTGCTGGTGCACATAAATACATGTCAAAAATGCACCTCAAAACCCTGTTGGGGTTTCTGAATGGTCACACACATATATATTTAGATGTACTCAACTCATAAACTACCGTTGGTTCTCATTTTTGTTCTTTCTTGACCTTATTTATGCTCATTTTTCATCTCCTCTGTTGCATCATTTCCTGGAATAGGAAAAAAAATGTAGAGCACTACCCAGTTTTCCTAAGCTTTCGAAAGAGGATTAAGAACTAGAAAAAGTGAGGCTAGCATTGTGTTACAACAAGTTGAGCCACTACCTGCAATATTGGCATCCCATATGGGAACCAACAGTTGCGATTACTCAGCTTCAGATATAGTTCCCTGTGAATGTACCCAAGAAAGCAGCAGAAGATGATCCAAATTCTGGAGACCCTGCCAATCATCTGGGAGAACTGAATGAGACTCCTTGCTCCTGGCTTCACCTGGCCCAAACTTGGCCATTGTGACCATTTGGGGAGTGAATCAGCAGATAGAAGCTCTCTCTGTGTTCTCTCCCCAACTCTGCCTTTTAAATAAATAAATTAATTAAATAAATCTTTTTTAGAAAGTAGAGGAAGAGGACAAGTGCAAGATGATAGAGGAGGAATGAGGAAAAAGTAGCAGAGAAAGAAAACCAAATGAAAACATAGAGTTAATTGTGCATCATGATGTTCTATCCCTACAAAGGTAAAGATGGCTCCAGGACTGATAACAGGGTTAGAGTTTGATCACATTAACTTGTGGCACCGACAACAGAAACTTCACATCTCCATTCTGTCACACATTCTGGATGTTACTTAAACTCTTTTCATAGTTTATATTCCTGTGAATATGACTTTTGTTTTTATGTAGGTTCCTTCCATTAGAGTCAACCCTTGCACAAAGTGAATGAAAAGTGAGTTTTTGGAAAAGTGCTTGACGTGGTAAATGTAGGTGTCATCTTGTCATCTGTGATGTTGAATGTTATATGTCAATTTGGCTGGACCATAATACAATCAGATTTTTACCCACTATTATTCTGGATGTTTCTGTGAGGTGTTTGGATAACATTTATATGTAGAGGGATGGACTTTGAGTAACACAGATTTCTCTCCATCACATGGGTGGGTCTCATCCAATCAGTTGAAGACCCAACCAGAACAAAATTCTGGAATTCTGCAGCACATTGTCTTTGAACTTTGCCCACAGCATTGCCTCTTCCTGGCTTCAGCCGATTTTGGACTTCAGTTGCAAGTCTTTGTGGAGCAGAACTTGCCCATCAAATGTTCCCATTCCTTAAAGTCAGATTATTTATCTGTTGATCATCTATCATCTACTTACTTACCTGTATCTATCCATAAACACATACCCATTGTTGCTTATAGAATCCTGATTAAAACATTATCCTGAAAAACAAGGATGAGCTGTAACAAATATTTTTGTTCCTTTCCTAATTATCATGGTAATCAAGGACCATGGAGGAAAGGCCTGAGTGCAGGGTTTCATGTCTGGGGGTTTGGTTCATATATGAGCTCTGTCCCTGCCTTTTTCTCTGCCTGGTAAAGTAATCTGAACTCCAGTAATAGTGTTTTCAGGCATTTATAGCATTGCTTACATCTGGAGTTATTTTGTCATATATCAAGTTGCCATGCATGCTAAGTTTAAAATAGTGTAAATGCATTTCTTTGGACAGTTAAGGTGTCATCAGGGCTACTCAAGGCTTCAAAAGAGAATCCATTTCTTGCTTTTCTGAGCTTCTAGAAGTCACTTCCTTTTGGATCATGCCCCCTTCCTTGTCCCACTATAACTTCTTGTTTCTGTTGTCCCCCAACTACTTCTCTGATCTGCCTTTATTGTAAGGACCTTAGTAGTCATGCTGTGGGAGGTCCCCTGGTTAAACTTGTCCAGGTTCTTGTTGCAACTTGAGAAAAAATTAAAGGAGGAGATAGATAAGGGTGACCAGAGAAACAGTATTTATTTAATAAGAAAGTAGACACTCTGGAGTAAGTGCAAGGCAGCTTGGAAGAGATGGCAATCAACAAAGTTTGAGACTATCCTTTTCTGTTATCTGGTGGTATAGGAGTGAGTGTCTGGGGCAAATTTGGTGGAGTTTGGGGCAGGACTTGAGTACCACCCATTTCTGCGTTCTCTTTTGGAAATCCCAGCAATGTCATGGGATCAGGGACATGATGGGAATGGGAGTGTCAGCAATGGTAATTTTATTATAATGACCTAAAGGTCACCACGGGGACACAGTTTCCAGCCATCTTGGATATTTCTGGTGCTGGTTCTATGTTATAACTTCCAGGAACTTGTGGTTTTCTGTTATATGGAAGGAGTAGGAGGCTGTTTGGGCTGCTCACAGAAAGGGAGGCTTGGGCAATACTGGGAGATGGGTTTAATTGGTACAGGGCAGGGGAAGTGTGGTTTCAGCAATGTGAGTCAGGCTGTGGTGCAGGCCATTCAGGGTTGTTGTATGGATTGGCTGGAGTGGTCATGTGAGTGATCCTGTAGCAGGTGGGTCAGCAGAATGTTGCTGGCTAAACCTCAGCTCCCCTTTGTGAATGCTGCCTCCCTGACTACGTTTCTTACATTGGACTCACCCAGACAAGCCAGGTTAATCTCCTCATACCAGGATCCTGAATTTATTTCTACAAAATCTCTTTTGACAGAGAAGATAATATTTGCAGGCTCTGGGGATGAAGACATGGACCTGTTCAGTGGGGGGAATTCGGCAGTGAGCCATGCCTGGTCACCAGAAATAATTGGCTTTAAGTAGAAGGTGAGCCAGGACAGGGATTCCAAGACTTTGGAATTGACACTTGAAACCACTTTTTATTTTTTATTTTTGGCAAAACACTCAATTATTTAGTGAATGCCAAAAGTTGCAATAAAGAAATGCCTTCTTGGCTTCTAAGGAGACAAATGTGTTGATACTTTTCATTTTTAATTTTCCTCTAACAATGGCAATTCTGCTTCTAGAATCATCACAGAGAAAACTTTTCTCTACCTCAAAAAATGTATATAAAACATTTAAAAGTACTACTTAGTGGTCATTTAGGTTAAAAAAAAATCTGTGAGGCTTATGGCAACTTTACTAATGCTCTCTAGTCTCCTGTAAGTGATCTTTAGCAATAATTAAAGTCTTTTAAAAATTTAAAATATTTTTAATTTTATTTGAAAAGGGGAGAGTTAGATAGATAGATAGATACATACATACATATCATTCATTATATGGTTTACTCCACAAATGCCTACAACAACCATTGCTAGGCTGGGCCAAAGCTGGGAGTCAGGAACTCAATCTGGGTCTCCCATGTGGATGGCAGGGACCTAGTACTTTAGTTGTCATTTACTGCCTTCTTGAGGGTACATGATAGCAAGAAGCTGGGTTAGAAGCAGAACCAGGACTCTAACCAGTGATTACAACATAGAATATTGCGTTTAAGGTTGGTGTTTTTAGTACCACACCAAACATCAACCTGGGGGATTAAAACCCTTTAAGATGGACTCTGAGGATCTTCCAGTATATGTAATTCAAGTATATTTCATAAATCCAACTCATATTTTTGAATTATGAAATTTGTCATCCCTCTGTAAGTTCTAAAATCATACTGAGCCCACAACATACTGAGTAGTTTTTTTGAACAGTCACTTTCCTTATATCCCTCTTGGCTACACGGATTACTTTAGGGAAATTTCTGGGCTTCCTTTTTGGTGTATTCTGTATTTTGCATCTTGCCAAAGCCTTTCTTTGATCTAATCAAATAAAGAAAAGTTAATTTTGGTTCCACAGATAGGGGAGAAACATGGAAAGCATCCTGATGCTTAGTTCAGCAGTTGCTCTTGAGAAGCCTATGACTTCACCCAGCTGATAAGACTTAGAGATTGAACCTGCTCTCATGGCTAAGGATTCACTCACTTGGGGGCCCCCTGCACTAATTGCCATCACATGATGTCTGTCTCTTGGCGCAAGGACTTGAAATAGACACTCAGGACTCAAAGACAGTTTATTATCCCCATTCCATACTATACATAATTATATCTCCTGCTCTTCTTCTTTTTCTTAACTCTGGCATTCTCATTACTTATCTAGCTGGGATTGCCATTCATTTCAGTCAGGCTTGTTGTGTACTTGCTGCAATATCCCAGTCAGTTGCATCTTTGGATGTGAAACTTTACTGTCCATTTCTGCTGTCTGCTTTTAAAGCTTAGCTCTATCGATAGAAAATGGATGCCCTCCTTTTTCTCAGCATGTAGTGAATTGCTATCATGACAAAGGAGGACAGCCATGCCATGGTACCTGTAATTGTGTAAGCCAGACCTAAAAACAGGCCACTGCCTCCACACCATGTCAGGGTGGAGAGGACAACTGATTTCTCTCCTTGGAACTTCGTTACTGGAAAGTCTAAGAGGACCTGTTAAGGATTTATCTCAGCATTTGTCACCACTGCTACTCTTCATGCTAAATCTACTCAGTTGAGCCATGTAAAACTGGCCTTTTCTGAGGTAAAAATGGTTCAATATTCAAGTTCATATATTTGGTTCAACTTAATCTTTATCAAACAGTATTCTATATCTTGCTAGAATAAAATTAAGTGGAAAAAAAATCCCATTTGCTCGGTAGTCTATGGAAGAGACTTGGGCACAGATCTGAATACCTTACATACAACTGAGTCATTAGCAGATAGATCTGATGTCTTTTGGCAAACACAAGGAAATTAAAAGAATATAGGTAGGTTTTACAGTACACTTAAGTTTTTGTTTATGAACCAGGAAATCCAGGGTTGACTAAACTGCTTCATAAACTGTAGTCTGAATTCTTACCTCAAAGAAAATTCTTCAACAGTAATAATGATGATGACATAATTGGCAAAACATATTGGTGGGAACACTAAAGGTGGTGCATTTGTTTTGGTTTTGAAAAGGCTTGCACCCTCACTGTTGGGGAGAAAGTGTTTGAAGTGGCTTTGCTACCCTTAGTGTTTTCATGATGTCATTTTGATTATGCATGTGGCCTGAGGTTTTTAAACATCTGGTGCCTTTTGTAAACCAAACTAATAAACAAACAAAGGCTTCTCATAGCAACGACACAGGACAGAGGCATTTCCCAGCAAAGCTCTTAAAAGTCCTCCAATCATCTGGCAACATGCTATTTAAAGGCATAAGGGAAAACTTGTTAGGAAACTAGTTCTTCTTCTTCTTCTTTTTTTTTTTTTGTCTTTTATATCAAAATTCCTTTGTCATCAGGTCCTTGGGTGTCACCTCCGCCCATCTGCTCAGTTACTCACCCTCCCTCATTTCCATTGGAATGGATCTTTTCCTGTAAGTGGCAAGTCTCTTTTCTGGTAGAAGGGATAGTCTGTGTTGCAGTGAGGGCTTGGTTCTGCTTGCCCATTAGTGGGGCCACTGTCTGTCTGGATGATGCTGCAGAGCAGTTTCCAGGTAGTGAATGTACATCTGGGCCCAAAGCGCGGAAACTCTAAATCTGAGAATGATCAGCATTAAAACAGCTGCAAATGAAGTCACCAAGGAAACTGCCTGCTGCAAGGAGAGTTTCTCTTGTTTGGACCGTGACTTCCTCATCCTCTCACCCCTAAACTGAATGCAATGCCTTGTGAGTACAGCAGCACCTGTTTTGTTTTCCCATTTCTTGAATGCAGCCATAACTGCTTTATTGGCCAGGCTGTTACAAAGTTGTCTGCACCACCAACTTCAGAGGCCATTCACTGTCAATCAACTTTCAGTCTCTTCTTCAATGTGAGGGAGAGGGAGTTTGTAGAAAACCCTTTTCAAAAGGTCTCTGATTTGTGGCGTTCATTCTCATACAATAGAATTAGAGACTGTGAAAGAAACTAACTGAAGGGAACCTGTACTCCTCCTGGTTGGTAAACAACAAAAAGAAGGGGAGAGGTGATGTCCCAGCTGCAAGGACACCAGGGTTGAGGAATGTCCCTGAGAGAAATCAATGTACCTACTCTACAGGAGAAACAAAGAGAAGATGGAGCAGGACCTGCCGCACAGATCGTCTTTCACTTTTCCCACAAGAACTTCTCTGGGTGAAGAGGCTGGTGAAGTGCACAATCTTATGGTAAGAACCTCTGCCACTGACAGTCCCTCTCCGGTCCTTGACAGGCTGTGGGGAGTGCTGATACCTCATCAGGCTGCATATTCCAATTCATCCGTAGGCCCTGGGAAGACATGCTGTGAGGGAACACTGCCTCAAAGAAGATCAGGAAGTGATGAAAAGCGAGTCCAAACATCAGAGTAAATGTAAATTATGTTTAAGCACATAATTTCTAAAAGAAGTATTTGGAATCATTTTAAAGCTAAATGCTTCCTGTTTTCGAATACAGTTACATGTGCATTTTTAGATTCAGTTTAAAAATTGATAATCTCTTTAGTAAAGCAAATGGCGCCTAAATTGGACCACAGTCCATCACGAAGGCACCGGCTCCTACCTGTTGGTTTCTTCTTCAGTGGCACAGGGCAACCATGCATGTCATCAGATGAACTGAACTTGCCCCTGAGCCCAGAGCTCCCTTGGTTTGTGATACCTTTGCCTGAAATAAAAGGTTCTGCTGTCTCTCTCGGCCTTTGTTAGTGTTAGTCCATATTCCATATTTATTTTTCTTTTTAAGTCCCCTCTCCATTTTCCTGGTTGGGCTTCCATCTCTCAGGGCATGCCTCTCCTCACTGTTTTAGCTAAGCCCAGTGTTATTACATTTTTATTGTGTGTTTAGGGGGATGGGGTGGGCAGAACTAGTCCTGTCTTACTAGTGTGTACCTCTTTACATGATCTGGTTACTAACTGCTATTCCTTCTATTTAGAAAAACACATGTAAGTATATGTTGTGGAGATAAACAGCTATATGATGATGAAAAGACAACGGAGAGGTTCAGGATTTGCCGCCCCAAAATACATCAGTTTGAAGTATTGATTATTTTAGAGCTAGGGACCCTTGACAAATAACAGGTTCATAAAAGGCACTTTGATCTCCTCTTTTCTTCCTGAAAAATAACAGAGAAAGTGTACTGAAAGATGCCATCCCTGTACACTGAGGGAAAAATATTTTCACTAGGGACTGGGAACTGAGGCTGAGAGAAATCTGTACACGCAAACCTTGTTACACTCACACTTATCTCGCTTTGCTTTTCCAAGATCATCATCTCTTACTCAGCTGACAGTGCACACACTCAGACCCAGTCACTTCTCTGGTCTTCCTTCTGAGGGTTCTCATGGATGCGGAAGTAAACTGTGTGTTCCTCTCTGCTACCTTCCTATGTAAGTAGCAGATAAGGAGAATTCCTTTCTCTTCTATAACACTGTTTTCTATATTGTTTTCCTTTTTTTTTTTTTGATATACAGATTTGGTTATGGAGAACAAGAAATGGTAGAGTGAAATACTTCAACAATAGTTGCCACGTTTTCCTTCATCTCCAAAAAGAAATTGATATGAAAGGATACTGTATTCTATGTTGAAACTGTAATTACCAGCAGGTAAGCCTTCAAGGAAATGCTGTATCCGATTGAGCCTACGGTATAGTTTTTTGAAAGTGGGAAAGGCAGCTGTCCGCATCCACACAATGAAGTCTTCATTGAGGAAGCCATTATTTTCTGGATCCTCTGGATCCAGTTCGTAAATGGGCTTGGACCAGTAAGGGGGCTTTGTGGTTCCTGTAGAAGGAAAATAAGGGATATGTTAGAGAAAAATCATACATCCCATTCAGTTTTCCTAGAGTATGGAGAATAAAACAGTTGTAATTCTGCAGAAAGAAATAGGAATTAGATTTTTTTTTTTTAAGTTTGTGTATATCAACTACCTGAGTAGTCTCAGAACCTGGTACCCAGTAGGTGTGCAACAAGTGCTTGCTAACGGAATGAAAGATTCCACTTGAATCTGACAAATGTTGACAATTAAAGCAAAACAATAAATTTTAAAAGCTAGTCAGTGAACTTTTTACTACTGTTATAGCTGGCCATAGGATGTCAACATGCTAAACAGGGAGCCATTACCTCTCAGCTTCTACTTTGAACTATTTGTCTCATAGAAGAAACTCAGTCCTGTTTCCAAGCACGGGCTGCGGTGCTTGTGAAAGTATATGCTAAGCCTGGTTGGATTAATCTGCTGAAGCATGCTTGCACACATAAACTTCCTCTGTAAATAATCGTTTCTTGGATAATCTTCTGCAAACACTGTGGAACTTACTTATTTCGGTTATTCCTAAGAATTTAGTCACTGTTACTGGGGGAATTTTGATCCCAACTGAACTTGTTTTTGGTGTCTGCTCTGAGAACTTTTTCCTATTTTTACTTTGGCCTGAGTTCATGATGCAAGTGTGCTTAGGACATGAGGATCATCTTTGTTACTTATGAAGAATGCAGGTTCAAGCACGCTTTTCCATAATAACTCCCAGCTCCACCTCCTCCCTGGCTTCAGCCAAACTTCCTTCATTTTTCTAATTTCAGTTGGGTCGTTTGTATCCATCCATTCATTCAACAATAAACAGTCCCTTTTGTCAAAGAATTTACAGTCTGAGGAGGGTATTAAAAGTAGGCAAATAGATAATTGGAGCACAATGTGCTTGTTCTGACAAGAAAGAACAAAGTTTAGTAGCACATGAAACAAAACCAAGGATACTTCTTTGTCAGGGGTTATGTGGCAAACATAACCACTTTCAAAAAACTAGTGATTCAGTTGCAGATGCAATGACTATACATGGCAGTTTGCTTAGATTTTTGTCTTAGTGTGTGACTATTGCCCGTTGTTGCATTTGGTTTAGTTTTAATTCCAAACAAGCGCTGTACATATGTAATTTATTATTAAATAGAATTAAAAAAAATTTTTTTGAGAAGAAAGGGGACAGAGAGACAGACAAACAGACAAAGGAAGAGGAAGAGTGCTAATCTGCTGGTTCACTTCCCAAATGCCCACAGTTGCTGGGCCTGGGCAGCCCTAGAATGAGATGCCAGGTGGCCAACCCATGCCTCCCTCCTGGGAAGTAGGAGCCTAATGATTTGAGCCATCCCTGCTGCCTGTTAAAATCTGCATTGGTGGGAATTTGTTCGGGCCTTCAACCAATCTTAGGCACTCTAATGTGGTCTTAGTTGCTAGACTTCTACTCCTGTACATATACTTCAGTTCTTTCAGCTCCCAGGCATGGTCTTAGCTAGTAGTGTGTGAGATACACAAGGGCAGTAAATACAGTGACATGGAATGTGCAAGTCTCATAGAAGTCAAAAGTTATAAATCTGCTGAAGAGCATCGGAATTTACTTCAAACGTTTGTGATTATTTGAGGGCAGCTATTCGGCCTAGTGGTTAAGAGACCAGCTGGGACACTTGGGTCCCTTAGCCAGGTGTCTGGGTTCGGCTCTGATCTTCAGCTATTGACTCCAGGTTCCTGCTGGTGCACTCTGGTAGGCATCAGATGTGGCTGACTTAGTTGATTTCCTGCCACCTTAAGGGGAGACCTTGATTGAATTTCCAGCCCTTGATTTTAGACCAACCTATGTTGTTATGGCCATCTGGGGATAAATAAGTGGATGGGAAATCAGTCTTTATCTCCTCTCTCAAATAATTAAAAGAAAAACAATTTTTTTTAAAGATTTATTTATTTATTGGAAAGTCAGATATACAGAGAGGAGGAGAGACAGAAAGGAAGATCTTCCCTCCAATGATTCACTCCCCAAGTGAGCACAATGGCCTATGCTATGCCAGGATCCAGGAACCTCTTCCAGGTCTCCCACAAGGGTGCAGGGTCCCAAAGCTTTGGGCTGTCCTCCACTGCTTTCCCAGGCCACCAGCATGGAGCTGGATGGGAAACAGAGTTGCTGGGATTAGAACCGGCGCCCATACGGGATCCCAGTACGTTCAAGGCGAGGACTTTAGCCATTAGGCCATGCTGCTGGGCCCAAGAAAAAATTTTTTACAGTTTATGGTTATTTTGGAAATTCTGTATCCAAAGACAATAGGTCTACAGAAGGTCCATTTATATATCACTCAGTAAGCATGATTTTTTTTTTGTAGGTCAATTAAATGAAGTTCCTCTTAGCTTCTGTTTCTATTATAGTTTTTTATTCCTTTTCCTGTAATCAACAAGGCTATTATGTGTTCATTCCTTTAGCACAAGAGGAACTTTGTAGACAGTTAAAGAGGTTAGTTTTATTTGAGTTGGTTAATCACAAGTAAATTAATATTAAGCAAGTTAATCATGGAAACAGATTTAGGAGAAAGTTTAAATTCTGGTGGAATCAAAGCAAAGATTTTTGAAGTTCAGTCATTGAAGATGAAACCTTTGACATTATTACAAATGCTACTATAACATCAGTTCAAAACCTCAACAGTCATATTAATGTATGGTTTTATAGTGATAACAAAAGTGCAAACTTGGTGGAATATCACGTAAGAGTAAAAACACAAAGAAATTGAGAAGAAGTATACTTGAAATTGATTATAGCACCTCCATAATTCACAACTGTATCCATATTTTATTGATATAGTTACTAGTATTTCATTAATCAGAATAACAGCTGTAATTGTACATAGGCAAATTATGTTTCTAAGCTTATGATTAGAAAAAACTCACCTGCAGAGATTTTACATGGTGTAAATACTAAATTAAACTTAGGCTTCAACATACTAGTATATGTAGTTCTTGCCATGCTGTCATCAACCAGAACTTTAGAAAGGTTTTAGTCCTTGAGGAGTATGTTAGTATGTCGATTAGTGTGTCCTTCAATAATCTTAAACTTTTTCTGTAAATGAGGGCTGGTTGCATTTTCTTTGAAAAATAGTTGAAAACCTTCCTTTAGTAAGTGTCTACTTTATAAAATGTCAGACAATTTTAGCTTTTGACGATTTAGGGTATTGTGAGTATTGAAAATGATCAACAGAAGGTTGTTGTAATTTACCTTTCTAAAACATACTACATCATGAATATTCAAAATGTTTATAGGGCTTAATCTCTAACTCTATGATCATACTTGAATTGTCTCTTTGTATGAAGCCTCTTCATAGCACTCTTGAAAACATTTTCTTCTAAAATGCATTTCATTTGACAGGGAGTCAGAGGGAAAAGGAAAGGCAGATAGATGAAGAGAGAGAGAGAATACCCAGATGCCAGCAGTGAATGGCTGAGGCTGGCCCGGACTGCACTCATTCCAGATCTCCCACATGGATCACAGGGACCCACCTCCTTGAGCCATCACCTGCTGCTTTCCAGGTTGTGCTTTAGCAAGAGGACAGAATTGGGAGCAGAGCCAGGAGTTGAATCTTATTGTTCTAATACAGGCTGTAGGAGTCCCACCTAGAATCTTAACCCCTAGGCTAAGCCTTCTGTTTTTAGTTGCATAAAAATGTGTATCAGAAACAATACTGAGAAGGTTTAAGATTTTATGACATTTTAATTTAGCCATACATTCAGAGTCAAAACCAGAAAAATCATGTGAATTTTAAAAAAGTACCTATGAAAATGCTTGGGTTAAAACACTAGCATGTTTGAGTGCAATATTTCAATTGACATCAAAGATATCCTACATTTGACAAAACTGATTGTGAACATGTGAGGACCTTTGTACCTGTGGAGTGCTTTCTCCATTAAAGTTTTCAGCTCAAAAGGGAAGAATCAGTTAAAGGTGTTAAACCTTCGAATAGACTAAATATAAAGCACAACTTTTTTTTTTTTTTTTAAAGATTTATTTTTATTATTTTGTTATTGGAAAGGCGGATATACAGAGAAGAGAGACAGAGAGGAAGATCTTCCATCCGATGATTCACTCCCCAAGTGAGCGCAACGGGTCGATACTACGCCGATCCGAAGCCAGGAGCCTCTTCCGGGTCTCCCACGCGGGTGCAGGTTCCCAAAGCTTTGGGCCGTCCTCGACTGCTTTCCCAGGCCACAGGCAGGGAGCTGGAAGGGAAGCGGGGCTGCCGGGATTAGAACCGGCGCCCATATGGGATCCCGGGCGTGCAAGGCGAGGACCTTTAACCACTTGCGCCACCGCGCCGGGCCCATAAAGCACAACTTTTAAGAAGATGCCAGATATACTGTGAAAAAATTAAATGAAACTATAGTAATGCTAAGGTCAAGAAAGTATGTGAATATGCATCCCAAATAATTAATCAGCTTAAGTTATTTTTAATGTCGAGCTAGTAATCCATTTTTTAAAAAAGTTACTTTAGTGCCCATATAAATGCTATTTTAAGTTTTAAAAGAACTATATTTTTGAAGGTGGAATTACTCTAGAAGTGCAACAATTTGTGTCAGTTTACTGATCAATAAATAAAAATTTCCAATAAGTATAAAATAGTTCATCTAAATGGTTGGAATTGGCAGCTAAACTCCTCAACTTGCATGCACCAGGATTCCATATGGGCACCAGTTCTAAACCCAGCAGCTCTGTTTCTCATCCAGCTCCATGCTGGTGGCCTGGGAAAGCAGTCGAGGATGGCCCAAAGCCTTGGGACCCTGCACCCATGTGGGAGACCCAGAAAAGGCTCTTGGCTTCAGATCGGCCCAGCTCTGGCTGCTGTTGCCATTTGGGGAGTGAATCATTGGATGGAAGATCTTCCTTTCTGTCTCTCCTCCTCTCTGTATATCTGACTTTCCAATAAAAATAAGTAATTTTTTTTTTTTAAAAAGCCTCCCTGTTTAAAAACTACATGGTCATCCTAATAATAGCTGGAGCAGCCAGTTTCTTAAATCATTATCTTTCTAATGGTAAACTGGAATGAAACAGAGCTTCAGCCTTTTCATGATTCTGATAGATACGTGATAGAGGTGCCAACTGGTAGAGAAAGCTAGAGTAAAAATGAGTCATCAAAGCAATACAAAGGAAATATCATGGATATCTCCTCACACATACAAAGCAAAGCTTATTTGTAATAAAGACATAAGAGTATTTTGCTACTGAATAGGTCTTACCTGCAAAATGGTCAGAAAGATTAGCATTAGCTGGATTCCCAAATTTGACATATTTATCTGTCCACCATGTAATCCCACTCTTTAACATTGGGACTTGGATTTGTATAGCTGAATTAAGTTCATATATAAGAGTTATAGTGTCTGTAAGAAAATTAGAAATTTTGTTAGAGTTGTATCCTAGCAGTTTGTCACCTTTCAAAATGCAGGACCAGACACAGCTGAAAAATAAGTCAAAGTTTTTGCAGCCTTGCAACACGTCTACGTGCCATAGAGCCTGGAATCATAAGACCATTCTTTTTCCTGCCAAGGTTGAGCCAATTATCAAAAAATACTCTTAAACTCTACTTAACTCATTTTCCTTGACTAGTCTTTCAGGTTCCTGGCAAGAGAGAACTTACATATTAGCAAATGAAATACCATTAAGTCAGGGCTCTGGCTTAGTCAGTATAATACATAAGGAAAGTTTAAAGTCTCAAACCAAAAAACTGTCACAAAAAAAAAAAATCACACACACACAAACCAAAAACCTCAGCTGCAGAGGCCATTTTCTGGACATTTAGGTTGTTGTCACAGAGTATACCACAGAGCTAGGGAAAGCCACCTACCATTGAACATGCTGTTGGCAATAGCACCACAGGGAGCAAAAGGGGTTCCATCATTGGACATTTTGAATGGTGCACAGTCTTCAACATCCTGGAGGCAAGATGATAACAGCAGTGATAAATGCTTCTGGTAAACCCTGTCATGTTGAACACTAGACAACTAACATTATAAACCAACTCACTCTGATTTTGGCATGGACCAAGATTATGGACTGCTTCTTTTTTATTTTAATTTTCTTTCTAGATTTAAATTTTTACATTTATTTTGATGATCTTTACATCAAAATGTAAAGATGGCTGTATATTCATGTGGATCACTGATTAGGGTAGAAAGGGTAGAGGTACAGGGGAAAGTGGATGAGACAATTACTTCCAATTTTCTCTTTCTTCCTGTATCTGGGGGAAGGGGAGAAAAAGGGAAGGGGCTGCTCCTAGCAGCCTAATTGCGTTACTACCCAGGGATGGGGACAGGCACTCAATTTCATCCTAGGGTCCCCCCTGATGTTCGGCATGTTCAGAGGGTACTGCTTAGTTGGTTTTGATAGTTCTGAGATGCTGTTGTTTTCATTGGTGCAAGGTTGAAAATTCCTCCCAGGTTCATTGGCTGACATGTCCAACTTGAGTCTCTATTAGCCCAGATACTTGCTGTCAAAGCTTGGCCAGGAGAGTTGTCCAATTTGTTTTCCCTCCATCTCCTGCCATGGAACTTGATGCCCTCTGCAGTGCTCAATGAGCTGTGTTGTCCCCCATGTGCATCGGCGTATGTCATCCCACTGCACAGGTTTCAGTAACTAAGGAAGCCCAGTTCTGACACATGCACTCCATGGTCAGACCATAGGTCCTGTGATTTTAGCCATGGTCAGAGTTTTGAATCGGTGGTCCAATTCAGGGACCTTGGGTCTGGAAAGGTAATCAGTTAAATTAAAGGTTTTTATAGGATCAAATAAGGGAGTGTATAGTAGCTGTGTAATGGAGACTATCATATCCAGATATGAGGATACAGATGTGATCTACTTCCAGATCAAAGATGGACTGCCATTGGAATGGTTTACGATAGCTTGACAATTAGGATACTGGACTCTGCCATTGTCCATGCCTGCAGTGATGGACATATGACTGTGTATGAAGAACTATATTATAGTAATGATACAGGGGAACTCAGTGATGGGGGAGGGGAAAAGAGAGGGAATAAGGGAAATCCCAGGGCCTATGGAACTGTATCATAAAATTATAATATAATACAATATAATATAATATAACCTAATTTTCTTAAAGTAGATTGGATCAAAAATCCCAATTATAGGAACGATAGTGGTAGATGTAAAGTAAGCTAGACTGAGGCCAGGCACATCTCTCTCAAAATGAGACATGGCTATTGAGTTGGAAGAGATGACCACTGAGTTGGGAGAGACGGCTGTTGAGTTGGAAAGGGTTTGTATGGAAAGTTCTCTAAAGAAAGTGAATAAATGTCCCTTCATAGTAGCTGTTACCCTAAATGCTTAACTGCTTCCATATATGCAGGGATGAAATGAACATTTCTGTTTTGTAAGATCCTAGCTTTTGAATTTGTTTTCAATCCTCTGTTTTAATAAAAGCTAAACCCAAGCTGACCAACCTGGTTAAAAAGCAAAAAGAATATCAAACCAAATTAAATAAAGCCTTACCTTCAAATCCTTGCCTACGAGTTGACTATTACTTCTGGATAAACTATATCTCTGGAGATTCTGATAGAAGCCATGCAACTTATAGTACATATAAACATTGCCCTGTATAGGAGAAAATGCAAGAAGAGAATAAGAGAAATTAGCTGAACTGTTAACAAATGTGAATAATTTAAAAAATGAAAGATAGTTCAGAGTAATGTGGAACTGAATATTTCTTAGTGTAAAAAGAAACCTAGGAAGGTACTGGAAGTCCTGACATATGTAGAAGAATTGCAGTTGCTAAGCTATTTTTATTGCTTTTGTAAAAGTGATTGTTTCTCTCTTGAAAAATTTTAATAGCTGGGCTTTAAATATTTAGGAGATACAATTTGGTGTCACAAATATTGTCATTCTCCAGCAATATTAGAAAGAATGCTTTGCCCAGAGATTGTACTAGGCAACGGAAGTCATGTGATTTCAAAGCAAATGTGTGAAACAAAGTCAGAACCACTGAGCATGCCTCAGGTGCACGAGACTCCTGGGCACGTGGGAGTGTTAAGATCGGCCGCATGTTGTCGTCAGCCTCCAGATGATTTTTGTCTATCTCAAGGATGTAACATGTTTTACCTGGCATATAATGCTTGATCAAGAAAAGCTAAAGCATTTTTTTTCTATGGACAAAATGATGGGATAATTCACTGATCCAACAGAAAGATGATTTTTCACCTTAGCTGTAAACCGCCTTGTTGCTGTGAGATGCTTTTCTCTTTGGGCTGCCACGTGAGGCTACCCTGTCCTGGGCTGCCATCATGGTTCTACCTTCATGGTCTTATCCAGAGCCCTTGAAACTCTCCAGGCAGACTGTATACACATTTTACTAACAGCCCCTATGAAAATATCTCTAAGGACTTAGATACCATATCCATAGATTTCATTATCAGTGTATATAGAAATGCCCAATGAAGCTGTTTATGATTAATATACTACATACCCCCCAAAGGCCAGCCATGAAAAACCTGAATACTGAACCTTACTTAGCATCCTAGGTGTCATGTGCTTTGTTCAGTGTTAGAGATACAAAAGCTTTCCTTTATGGTTCCCTGTTTTCATTGATTCTTTTACCCAAAGCAGAAACAGCGTTTTGGAAAGGGTTTTGGTTCATTTCCTATTGGTTTTAAGAAGCATGAAGATGGAAGCTGGGAAGGAACGTCACAGGTGTAGGAAGTTTATGGAAACCAGGAAAGGCTTAAGGGCTTGGTCAGCTGTAAGAGAAACAGCTCTGGAAGCAGAGGCTGCCCATGACACAATCAGCAGCGCTGGCGTGAACGAGCCCGGCTGAGTGGGAATGACCAATTATGTTTCCTCCTCCAAAGAGGGAACCTTTCTTTTGACCCACGACCAGGGAAAATGTGAAACCCACAGAGTGGAATGCGCTATATATTTTCTTGGAACTCAGAGAGGGAGAATTCTGTTTAACCAGACTTATTAAATGCACATAAATGACAAAAATGGACAGGCAAAGAGCACTTATCACTTTAGGGACTGGAGTATTTTAATAATCTCTTTTCAGTAATTATTCGTCCAGGATTTAGCTTGACAAGGTCTCTAAGATCACCATCTTTTTGATCATTCCTGGAAGTACAATTCACTTTTAAGTTTAATGGCACTGTGTGCAGGACTCATTTGTTTAAGACTGAGTGTGTGCATTACCTGGGTTCCGGATGTGATGTATATGGAAATTGTTGGCTAAAGGCACTCTGGCTACCCTAAGGAGCTTAGTTGGGTTTTTACAAGAAACCAATCTCTGACCAGAAGGAATGGTTAGCAGCTGGTAACATTTCATTTACCTTTGGAAGTGTGAGGGACACAAAAATGGAAACTGAGGTCCTTTAAGGTTTTACCCTTTGGATTTTTTCTTAAAAGTTTTAAGCATTTTGAACCCTTATGAAATAAGGGAGGAAGGGAAGAAGGAGGCAGTTAAAAGAAGGAACTCCAAAGAGAAGGGAGGGGGACCACGATGCATTCTGAAAGTTTCAGCAAGGTTAACAAGAGATCCCTAAAACAACATCAGAATGGTGTCCTCTCCCAGGAGTGGGACCACGCCTGCATTCAGCCACCAACTGGGATGGCTGCAGAGAGTAAGGCCCTGGTGTAGGTGGGAAAATTTCTGAGCACAGCTGTTGGTGCTGTCCCTTAGGGACTGAATTGGACAGGAGCCTTTCCATGGCCTCTGTTGTCTTACCTGGTCGCCAAGTCTGCAACCACTGTACTTCCTTCGACTCCTCAAATGTATTTCAGGGTCCTTCTCTGTCCTCTGCACCCCTCCATCATTCCCTTTGTGTACCCTTCATAGGTGATGCTGCCTCAGGTAAGCCAGGTACAGGCAGGCCTGCTCCTAAACTTTTCCCTTAATTCCACCTGCAGATCTTTCTTTCTTTTCAACTTCACCTGGCCCCCAAATCCTCCTTTTCCACCTTCCTCTTCTCCTCCCCAAAAGCCGGAGCTGCTCTGTGGACTTACAGCTTTCCCAGGCTCGCCCTACTCCAGCCTTATGTTTCCTCCCAGGTGTTCCCTCAGTAAATCTTTTGCATGTCTAATCCCGTATTGGCACTGGCTTCTCAGAGGACTGGACAAACATGCAATTTTAATCAGTCCAAGGTGAGGACTTTTTTTCCCCCCATTTCTCAAAATGCTTAAGACTTTCTTAGAGATTCGGCAAGTACATATTTGGAATAACTTTGGTGTGTGTATGTGTGGGGGTAAGCAGGAGGGTTCCACTCTGTTTGAAGGCTCTGAAACTGATTGGTGTGACCTTGGCCAAGTCACTTAGCCTCTTAGCCTGTTCATTTTTGTCACTATTAAGTGAGGGTTTAATTTGGATAATCTCTCTGTATGGCTCTCCTGTGCTGACTTTGGAGTAGAATCAATTTACTTGATTCTGAGAATTATGTTGCAAACTTGGGTAGGTAAAGAATACTGGCATTTAGAATTAAGGAAGCCAAGGAGAATAATAATAAAAATTGTTGAGCGTGAATAAACTCAACAATTTGTAAGATGTGCCACTCTCCAAGCGTCACTTTTTCTTTGTTTCAGAAAGCACTTGATGGAAGTTGTGAGGTAGTGCTGAGTGCTGACTAGGTGCTGCCAGGTACCAGGCAGCATAAACTCAGCCCAAGTTGCTGGAATGTCACTTACCTGCATTTTCTCTGCAAGGTGAAAGGGAATAGAGCAGGTACATTTTTTGTCATAATTAAGGGCATCTTCCCGCAGTTCTGCACAATTTCCACATGTTTTTGTGTAATTAATCTGTCAGCCAGGGCAAAGAAAACGTATTAAACAAAAGTTACATGATAAAGTATAAAATCCAAAGCCCCAAGTCCATCAAAGTCTTCCAACGTGCCAGGGGAAAGGAGTCTGGGGTGTGAACAAAGGGCAGCCGACGGTGCAGCACGTGTGGGGTGCTCAACAGGAGTGGCTTACTTTCCTCGGGGGCCAGGCAGCATTTTGCCACAGGCCTGGAGTATTTCTAGTGCAAACTTATGCTGCTTGTTGAGATGGAATCTTGCCCAGCGATCCTCCAGAGGTGTCATTTGGAAGGTACTAGAAAGTGACTCAGGGGAACTGGGCTTACGGCCGGAATCTGAGCAGCTTTATGTGGAAGTCACTTCACTGTATTTTCCATTTTATTGCATGGAAAATATTTATACTAACGAATGAATCAACATGGCATTTCGAGGAAGTTACTGAAAATGACCCAACAGAAGAAAGAAAAAATAGAAAACATTTCCAAAGCATAAGACTGTGGATGTGTGGTGAATAATTCTGGTTTCAAAATATTGCTGCTTTGTGCTTTTAAAAATGAAATTTTCTGGAAAAATAGCATAATGAACTTATTTTAAAAGAAGTGTAGGGTCCCAGATGGGTGTTTTTTTTGTGCCCTGGCTGGCCCTCGGTTCTGGGAAGTGCAGCTGGAAGGCATGGGGCAGGTCAGGGTGGCGGGCACAGGGCCTGCGTGCCCCACCCTCCAGGCAGACTAATGGGGCTGACATGGAGGCGACCTGAGCTGTGTCTGCCTCTCTCTGTCCAGGCTGAGGAAAAGAGAAGTGAGAAGGTAGGAATGCAGAGTGAGAGAAGCACCGAAATAAGGGCACACTTCCTCTAGGTAAAGGGTGGAAACATTTCAGTTTCTCTGGGAGGGAGAGAAAACTATTCAAGAAAGATAGAGGAAATTTTCAGTCTTTCAAAAGCCCCTGAAGAGTTTCAAGCCCAGAAGTAAAATCTGAATACTAAATTAAAGATTAGTGAGAAGGCTGCCCATTCTTGCTTAAATCATGTTTTTTCTTTTTTAAAAACTATTTACTTTAAAGCCAGAGAGAATGGGCGACAGAGAAAGGGATAGAGGGAGAAGGGAAGCTTGCATCCACTAGCTCACTCCAGATGGCTTCAGTGGCCAGTGCTGTTTAGGCTGAAGCCAGGAACCTGGAACTGCAGCCAGCTCTTCTACGTGGGTTGTGCACTAGTAGAGTCACACTTTCCGGGCACACCAGCAGGGAGCTGGAGCAGAAGTGGCAAAGCTGGGACTAGAATGGATGTTCAGACATGGGATGCTGGCACTACAGCAAATAACCAGTGAAGGAGTGAGGCCACCCTCCTTGTGTGCATAGGGTGGCTAACTCTCAAGAAAGGCTGCATTGCACAGTGTGTGATGGCAATGGGACAGGAAGAAGCAAGGGAGGACAAATCAGAAAGGCCAAGAAGAAAGGACAAAGGCAGGTAGGGTGAGCTGTTGGTGGAAATGAACATTAACCTTGTAAGCCCCATTACTTTGCTCTCCCCTTCAGCAAGACAAGCTGCTTTTCGCCTACATCTTGCCTCTGCCCCATGATGGGGGCCCACAAGAGCTGACCTATAGGCCCGGAGGACTGAAGCGGATGGAGCGGCACTTGAGGGCCAGGGAGATGAGGTGTTTGCAGCTGGGAGGGGGGCAGCAATAGAGGTGTGGAGGAGCTAGAGCAGTGTGTGTTGGGATGAGGAGAAAGACCTGAAATGTGCACTGTCTGCTGTCTCCTGTTCTCCCCCGAGGTGTAGTGAGCTGAAGTATCCATGGCCCAGGGAAGGGTTGGAGCCATGGAGGATCTCTGCTCTCAGCTTGCACTCTTACCTGCTGTGTTGCTCCTTAGCTTAGCAAGGGCAGGAGTTAGCTCTGACTCACCTTACTGATCTGCATGCCCAGTGCACATCAGGAGCACTTTGGGGCAGGCACGGGACAGACCTGACCTTCACTGTCATTCCGCCAGGAGCCATGTGGGGAAGGAATAGGCTGGCTCTCCATGCTTGCCTTTAGAGTGCAGGTGGTGTGATTCCCTCCCTAGGCCGCCTCTGGGGATTCTTCACCCTCCCCAGCTTGTTCATCATGTCGGCGGAAAGGCTTGGGCCTATGTGCTTAATGCCCTTGGTGACAGCTGTTCCCACTGAGTAGACTGTGATGTATCTGGCCACATATCGTTATGAAGCCAGAAAGACAGATGTTCTTGCTTTCCTAGATCTCAGTGTGAGGGAGATGATGGCAAAGTGAAATACACAATGCTTGAAATTTAGGGGGCCAAGGGCCAGGGGCCAGGTACAATAGTCTAGTGGCTAAAGTCCTCGCCTTGCATGCACCAGGATCCCATATGGGGACTGGTTTGTGTCCCAGCTGCTCCATTTCCTGTCCCACTCCCTGCTTGTGGCCTGGAAAAGCAGTGGAGGAAGGCCCAAAGCCTTGGGACCCTGCAACATGTGGGAGACCCAGAACAAACTCCTGGCTCCTGGGTTTGGATCAGCTCAGCAATGACCACTTGGGAAGTGAACCAGTGGATGGAAGATCCTTTTCTCTCTGTCTCTCCTTCTCTCTGTAAATTTGACTTTCCAGCAAAATTAATCTTACAAAAAAATAAAAGAATTTTGGGGGCCACATGGAAGATGTATCTCTTCGTCTTGCTTTCTTCTGCTCATCAGTCTGCTGCCTGGATGTCTCGGTGATCATTCGGCCCGGCCTCTCCTCCCATGCCTGCATGTGGCTGGTGCACTACCCTACCAAAAAAGCCTATTCTGAAAAGCCCACAAACACAAATATGGCCAGGTGGACCAGTGTGAGTGATTCGCTTCAAGCAGAAGAGTGAATAAGCCACCACACGCGGACTGTGCTGCCATCAGCCCATGAAAGACAGACATGCATCTGATGTAGTGCCCTGAGGAGGGTCTCTGTTCTCAGACTGACTGTGCCCCGCAACAGTCCCATAGGCGACAAGATGAGAAGCCAGTTACAAGGGAAGAGGGACAAACCTCTATTTTCTGGATGTTCTTTGCAGACAATATAAGCAAGATGCCCATGGAAAGGCAGAATAGTCCTGAGGCAAAAAAGATGGAGAAGACCATCGTGGCTGAGAAGTAGAGCTGGCAGGCAGGCAGCTGCTGCTGCGTCATCGCTGTGTTGTCTGGCAGTCTGGACAGCTTACTCTGGGATGGCGTCTCCATGTTGGTCCTGCAGGGGACTCAGATATACTCTCGGGACATCGAGAACATTTCTACTCATGTTAATACCACATTATATTATATTAAATGAAGAATTCTGGACCTTCCTTGGCAGTCTGAAACCAGACCTACGTTTCAGCTCTCTTTCAGCAGCCATTGTTTTTCATTTAGGCTCAAATAACCTTTGTGCTAAATGTCACACCTAGGACAGGGAGTCCCCAGCAAGGTCTGTAAAAACCAAAACTTGGTGACCTTGGCAGCAGTGATGATGGGGTATTGCTGAGAGTTTGTGACTAATTCAAGGCAAGCCCTTCCTAAAAGGAGAACATGGAATTATCTTTAGGAACTTACCTAAATCTTTGGAGATTAATACGAAGATAAAGTTAGGGCTGTCAACTTTTGTACTAAATGTAACTGTCATCTAACATGAACATTAATTAAGTTGGAAACATGCTCTCAAATTACAGCTAACTTTGCAATTTGTGATATGGAAAGGATAAGCAAACAGGGAATTGTAGAACACAGATGTTTAACCTCAAAAGCTTCTAGTTTTTTTTTTCTTCATCCCTAAGAAATATTATAGTAGAAAACAGAGATTAAAAAAACAACTCTTGGGCCCGACATGGTAGCCTAGCAGCTGAAGTCCACTTTGCATGTGCCAGGATCCCATTTGGGTGCTGATTTGTGTCCCAGCAGCCTCATTTCCCATCTGGTTCCCTGCTTGCGTCCTGGGAAGGCAGTGGAGGATGGCCCAAAGCCTTGGGACCCTCAACCTACCTGCGTGGGAGATCTGGAGAAGACTCGGCACTCCTGGCTTCGGATCGGTGCAGCTCTGGCTGTTGCAGCCACTTGGGGAGTGAATCAGCAGATGGAAGATCTTCCCCTCTGTATATCTGACTTTCCAAACAAAAAAAAAAAAAAAAAGAAGATTCTGAAACTTTCTTAAACTCATGGGGTTTGGAGTAGACCAAATGAAGCAAGAGAGAAAAAAATGAAAAGAATTAATGTTCAATTTTATAACACGGTATTTGGTTTGGCTTTTGTCTCGTTATAAATCCACCAACATTTCATTTACTTGTTAGGCTGTTAATGATTACTTTAAAAAATGACACTTAGGACTTTTAAAAATCAAGTACAAGTGAGTTTCTGTTTTTCTGAGCATTAGGCAGAGAAGCCATGCTGGTCTATTTTTGCATTCCAGACAGCAGTTACTTTGGCAAATGTACCTATTTTAAAATGATACAAAATACATGCAGATAACTCAGGGTCAAGGTTTCCCATTTGAAAATTTGGAAAAAGAAAAATACCAGTGGGAATTGCTCAGCCTGCCATTTGAATCTGATGTGGAGGTTGGGACCAGAGGGGCTGTGGCTATCAGGCAGCTACGTGTGAGAAGATGATAACACACACTTCTGGTAAGACCATAAGGTTACTGTATGTACACGGTTGGCCTACACAACTTAAAATACTTGTTCTCACAGTAGGTGGAATTATATACTACCATGTCATATTGCCTACCAAAAGGACCATTCCAAAGAAACTATAAGAGCAGTATTTCTTAGGCTTTTCAAACACAACAAAACAAAGCTAACCAAAGTTTCATGCTAAAAGGAGTGTCACTGGGCCTCTAAAGGAGCAGAACCAATCATATATTATTCTGTATGTATGTTTTTATATATTAATATAAGGAATGGGCTCACATGGGTGTTGAGGCTGGTAAGTCTTAGATCTACAGAGCTGGTGTCCCAGTGTCACGCCTGAAGGTCAAGAGGTTGTGCAGAACCAGTATGTGTTGATGGGTCAGTTAGGAGCCCATCAGCCAGGAGAATTCTCTTGCTTGGGGGAGGGTCTGCCCTTGGTTCTATGCAGATCTTCAACTGACAAAATGAAGTCCACTCAAATTATGGTGGTGATGTTTCTGCATGACCCCTCATTTCTGTTCATCTCATTCAAAAAACCTGCACAGAAACACCCAGAAGTATGTGCTGTTGCTGCATTAAAATTAGCCATCCAAGATAATAAACAGTTTTAGGGTCACATTTTTGAGACAGCCAGATATACATTTTACAGGTGCTTTATATTCATCTATTTCTCTTTTACAGGCAAAGTTACATCATGTGCTTTGCTTTTCAATATCTCTATGCCGGTTTCTCAGCCTCAGCACCATTAACACTGCGGTACAGATATTGCTTTGTGGTGATTAGGCCACAGGCAGGATTGCAGAATGTTGAACATCCTTGGCCTGTACCGCTAAACGCCGGGGCATGTTCTTTCTTACTATTGGCTAAGATCATCTCTCTTCCTAGGATTAAAGAGTCGAAAATAATTGGGTTATATTTAGCTATAGCTTTAATGGGATTTCATTCTCCAGTGGATTTTTAACTATTTTGTTCTTCAGTGGGTCTTTTTTCTTTAACCTTTTGGGTTCTAGTCAGGGTCCTAGAGAACAGATTCCATTCCTCCTTCCTTTGAGTTTATGTGTGTGACTTTCAACTTGTGGAGGTGCATGAACAGCAAGTTGTTGATGATGTGTGTGGGTGTGTGATTTGCAGGACTTTGAGTTTTTCAAAAGATTGTTTTTCTTCAAAGTCAGAGAGAGAGAGAGGTATCTTCCATCCTCTGATTCACTCCTCAAATGGCCAAGGGCCAGGGCTGGAGTGGCCGAAGTCAAGAGCCAGGCATTCCTTACGGTTCTCCCAAGAGATTACCGGGGCCTGAACATGTGGGCCATCTTCCACTGCTTTCCAAGGTACACTGTCAGACAGCTAGGTTGAACGTTGAGCAGCTGGGACTTGAACTGGGGTCCATTTGGGATACAGGCACTGCAAGCAATGTTTTAACCCATTGTACCACAATGATGGTTGCAGGGATTTTGGTTTTCAGGAAAATAAACTTAAAATTTAGCAAAATTCAAAGGTAGAATTTTATGTGTCAGTAATGGCTTCTGAATTGCCAATGAAAAACGTGGTCTCTTGAGGTGAACATGAGACTTGGGCTTGACTTCTAGCTTTGCTACCTGAACTAGCAATGTCCCTTTAAATTTAAAAAAAATTTTTCATATTGATTACATAGTTGAGAATGATGCATGTGAGCTTCTGATTAGGATGGGGAGGATGGGGAGGGAAGGTGTGGGAGATAAATGTTTCAGTTCTTTTTTTCCCCTCTGTGTCCACAGGAAGGACAGGGGAGCCACTCCTTGCTGTCAAACTACATCAGACAGTCACTTGATGATGCCTTAGAGATCCCAATGTGGGGAAGAATGTTCCAAGGGTGTTATTTGAGTGGCTTTGATAGTTCTGAGATATCAGCTTCATTGCACCAGGGTTGAGAAAATCTTTCCCAGGTCTGTTGCTGACCAAGTCCACTTAAGTGTGTATCCACTGACCCAGGGACTTGCTGCAAAGCTTGGCCAGGAGAATTGTTCAACCTATTCTGTTTTCTGTCCTCTGACAAGGCACTTATGTCCCGACAGGAGACATCAAGAACAGGTCAAATGTGTCGTATTCTGGCAAAAGGGAGAACTGTCAACCATAGCAAGAAAACAATATAGGATACACATGGGTGTACTGAAAGTATGACGGTTATGAGAGGCCTGGAGACAGTGACAAAATGTCAGCATTTTGCAGAAACTTAGGAAACAGAACAACTAGTGACAATGTGGGGCCCAGTGGGAAAACTTTTGTTCACTCAGTTGTACCAAATTATATGACTTCTTTGTTTTGATAATTCTATTATGGTGTTATCAGATGTCAACGCTGGGGAAACCAGGTGAAGCGGACATAGGAATTTATACTGTTTTTGCAACTTTTCTGTGATTCTGAATTTTTTTCGAAATAACAGAAGGAAGGAGGAAGACAGCTGTAATTACACTTGTTTGTTTTTCATCAGTTTACAAAGCAGTACATACATCTGCGGCTCTTCATGCTGGAACCTGTGTCCCCTTCAAGCCTCAGAGCTCACAGCCCTGCTCCCGTGGACCGTCTCATGCACTTCCAAGCCATCCTGTGAACACCACTCTCACTTCCCACTCTCACAGAGGGCAGGACTGACCTCAGCTCCCCTCACTGCTCTTCTCCTCCTGCTCAGTTACCTCCCAGGCCAGCTGGCAACAGAAAAACTCAGTCTACTCAACAGAGATCAGAGACAAACCAATGACTCTTTATTTTACAAGGGAGCTGGCTAAAGCAGATTCAGCTCTGTCAATGAATCCCTGTCAGACATTCCCAGAACTGCATCTGGTTGTACAGTCAGCATAATAAAACAATAGCTGATATGTACTGAGGGCTTGCCATAACCAGAGTCATTCAGTAAGATGTGATCCCACGGTGAGAACTGCGATCTTTAGTAGGATCCAGGCTCAGAAAAGGCCCAACTTCAAAGATTCAGACTTGCATAGACTGAGTACTCCCATTTCCAGAAGTTCAAAAACCTCCTTTCTTATCTAAATGAAAGAAAAGGATAAAAGAAAAAAAAAAAGTTAAGCTCCAGACAAGACGGTCTTGGTGAGTCAGTTCAACCATCTGGCGACCTGGTCTTCACACAGCTGTTACCGCAGGAATCAGGGACAACAGTCCCAACTCACACTGGATTTGGAGATGAAACTGTTACATGAACAAAGAGAAGAGTTACATAAAACAGGACTTTTCTCTAAGTGTGCTTTTGTTTGCAGCCATTCAAAGTGAAGTAGTACACACAGGTATTTCAAGGACTTAAAAGTAACCCAGATTATAGGCAGTATGTGGGATAATAGCTCATAACAGAATTGATGAATTAAAAACAAAGAAATGGGTGACAAGTTCTTTTCAAATGTGGCTTCATGTGCCTGATCTCAAATTTGTTAAATAAGTTTTTAGTCAGGGGCAAAGTATATGAGAAAAAGACAGAAACAAACAGCATCTTAAACTGCTGATGCTGTTAACCAAAGGGCAGAATACATAAGCAGAATGCCAAAAGGGGTTTTAATTGAAATGAAAATTTAATTTTGTTTTTAAAATATTGTTTATCTTTATTTATTTTGTGGTAATATAGTACTTTTTTTAGAAAACAGTTTTCATAACTTGATAAATTATAGTTTTGTTTGTTAGCAGAGTTGCTCTTAATGTGTAAATAGACGACAAATGGTGTAATTAAAAAAAAATTTTGTAAGAGGCTTCAAAATGTTTATATGTGGAAACATACCTACATGAAAAGCATAAATTGGTTGCTGTTTTGCTTCTTTTTCCCTCTTATTTTTGTATTGTGGTCATTTCCTATGCAAATAATGGAGCAAACAGCTGTATAGTTGTAGAATTTTTTGAGAGAATGAGATATTTATATATTAACGACAATTTTTTTTGGAAAATAAAAAGTGCCTAAAAGATTCAAAAAAAAAAAAAAAGAAAGAAACAGACAGCATGTCTGTGTGTGTGTGTGTGTGTGTGCACATGGACCTGAGCAAATTATTTTTTAACCTTAGGTAATGTCTGATAGAATAGACTGATCTATTCCAATCAGGATTGGCCACTGCAAGGACATAGTTTTCTGTGTAAGTTAATTTAGCATGCATGGATGAGTTATTTACAAGCCTCTCCCATGGTTACTGTCATGATTTATTCCTTGTTGGTGTCTGGCATCCATGTTTATTACTGTGCAAACCCTTTTTTCCCCACTTTGTGGTATCAGGCCAGTTTGAAAAATTAGCCCCACTGATAGCATACTGGGTGGCAAAATCAACTTTTCACATGATGATAATGGATTGCTTTTTTTTCCTTATAACTATAAATATAAAGTGTGATGCTGTGCCCACAAAGGCATTTAATTATTCAATTCTAATCCACTGAGACACCAAAGGATTGCCCTAACCCAGCAAATGAAAGCGTCTTTCTAAATTATGTAAGCAGGTTTCTAAATATGCTGGTAATAAGGCAGTTCATGTCATGTCCTGGACCAAAGTGTACACGAGGTGTTTCCCATAAGTTTATGGAACATTTATATTAAAAACTATGCATGGATTTCAACTCTTTTGGTACCAAAATAAACATTTTCAATTTTAATTCAGTTATCTAAAAGTCGGAGAGCAAGAGACAGAGAGCTCTTCTACCCTACGGCGCATTCTCCAAATGCCCCCAGCAGCCAGCCCAGCGTAGGCCAACCATGAGGCTGGGTGCCTGGAACTCAGTCTGGGTCTCCCACACGGGTGGCAAGGACCCCACCTACTGGAGCCTTCTCCTGCTACCCCTCATGGTGCACTTGTGCAGGAAGTTAGGATGGAAGCTGCAGCTGGTACTTGAATCCAGGCAGTCTGCTATCTTCCTGATGGAAGGTGGGGTTGGGACTTGAACTGATATAGGATACAGGTATCCCTGCTGGCATCTTAGCCACTCTGTTAAGCTTTCTGAAGTATGCTGGTATAAGGGCAAAGATGAAAAACAGCTAAAGAGAAGGAAAAGTGCTAAGTCCCTCGGATTCTTTTCACAGTCCACCTGGAAAGGATGCATCTGGTTTTAGGGCAAAGTGCAGCCTTCATCACTGTCGCTACCTCTGACTTAGAAGATGGAGATCAACTCCTCACATCACAGACTTTGTTACTTTGCTTGAATTCAAGTTCACATGGAACAAAAGGTGATTAAAGGCAAAGCCCGGCTCCTCCATACCTCGGGAATGTCCATCATTCTCCTCAGCTTCTGGTCTCTCCAGTTCCAGTCAAAAACCAGGAACTTTAAGGGGTTTAAATTAAGGCCACCTGGAACACAGAGAGAGAGAGAGTCGTAGTGAAGATCTCACAATTCAAGCTCAAAGAAATGATTCTTTTTTTGTATTCTGATCACAATAAACTGGGGCAAAGTATATGAGAAAAAGCCTTCATTTGCCATCTTCTCCCCCAGAAGCTAGGCTGTGCATCTAAGTGCTGCCCCTGCTTGGTGGAAAACAAATGAGGCATTCTGAGACATGCTCTCCTTGCAGGCGCTGTGCTGCTTTGGAAGGAAGCATAAAGCTGCTCTTGCTAAAGTGTTCGCCTGCTAGCCTGAAATCACGGGGATAGGCTTCAGACCTGGCAGGGACATGATGAGCTATAGCTTGCATATAAGATGCTTTGGGGCTGTGAGGGCTGGAGGGAACCGCAGGGACTGCCTAGCCCTGAGTGTGTCATAGTCAGGTGCATGGTCAGCTCCTCTCCTGTTGTAAGCTAATACACGGCACCCCCAGAAAGCCAGACCTGAGGCCTTCCGGTACCTGCTGCTCCTCTCCTCTGCATTTCCTTGTGCAGTTTGCTCCCGCCCCAAGTCTTGTTCATACTTCTTATGCTTAACATATCTCTTTATTTAAAACTCTCCTGGAAAAATTAAAAACAGTAAACTGAAAAAGCAAATGAACTGAAAAAATCTTCCCTTAAAAATAACTTATGACTGATGGGAGAGCAAAGACATACAGCCCATCTGTACTGAAACAGGACATTGCATAATAATTATTTGGAAATGCAAACTATTTGATAAAAATAATTTTCCTTCTGTGATGTATTCCAGTAAAAACATCACAACACTAACACCCTGTTACTTGCAAATATGATCATTGCAGTATTATTTTTATTAGTAAAAGTTAGAAATAAATGTGCTGCCAAAATAGAATGCATAATGGAATACGAAAGAGCTATTATAATGAAAAATTAAACCTTTTCATGATAAAGTCATAAAGAATATTTTAGGGGCCAGTGTTGCAGTGTAGTGGGTTAAGGAGCTACCTAAGATGCCAACATCTTGTATGGGTCCCAACCAAGGTCCTATATGCTCCACTTCTGATCCATCTCCCTGCCACAATGATTTCCCTTAAATAATTTCCTGCTAAACTTATTTTTCCTCTCAAATTATTTCCAAAAATAGAAGAGAAGGAAATTCTTCCAAATTCATTCTATGAGTTTTTAAACCAAAACCATGCTAGGAAACAACACAAAAAGAAAGCTATAGGCCAATATCTTAGATGAATACAGATGCAAAAAGTCCTTAACAAAATACTAGTGAACTGAACCCAACAGCAAATACATTAAAAAGATCATTCACCATTATCAAGTCAGATTCATTTTGGGGTTATGGAGATGATTTAACATACACAAATCAGTAAATCTGATACACTAGATCAACAGAATGAAGAACAATGACCATATACACATTTCAGTAGATGCAGAAGAGTGATTTGATAACATTCAAACATTCCTTCAGGATAAAAGCTCTGAGCAGATTAGGTATAGAAGGAATATACTTCAGCATAAAAAAGGCCATATATAAAAAGACAAGCCAACACCTTACTGAATGGGAGAAAGCTGAAGGCTATATAAGATCTGGTACAAGACAAGGATTCCCCTTTTAACTGCTTGTATTCAGCATAGGGTTGGAATTCTTTAGTCACAGCAATTAGGCAAGAGAAAGAAATGGAGGGCCTTCACATTGGAAAGGAGGAAGTCAGACAGTCACTGTTTGCAGATTTCATGATTTTACTTCAGATCTGAGAGACTCCATTGCGAAGTTCTTAGAATTAATAAGCAAAGTCACCAAGCTGCAGGATACAAAGATAATGTATAAAAATTAGTAGCACTTTGCATAATGGTCTTTAGTTGGGACCATTTTAAAATAGGAAGGGAAGAGGAGCAGAGGGAGAGAGGAACTCCTATATCTACAAAGCTGATTAAAGGTAAATAATAAATATACTTGAATAATAGAGAAATGGAGGATACATTAAAAAATTAATAGTGCATTTTACATAGCAGTAGTGAATCCTGTGAAAAGGAAATCAAGAAAACAATACAACTTTCAAGAGAAAACAAAACAACCAACAACAATAAAAACCCTGGGAATAAAGTTAACCAAGGGGGAAAGATTTCTGAAATAAAGACTATAAACCATTGATGGAAGAAACTAGAAAAGACATAAAGAAATGGGAATACATCTTGTATTAAAATTTACATAAAACAGAAAATGTTTATAGATTTAGTGCAATCTCTGTGAAACATCCCAATGACATTTTTCATAGAACCATGTTGATTGTTTCCCTCACTGTTGTGTGTGAAACCAGAAGACCGCCAAGCAGCTAAAGTGATCCTGAGCAAAAAGCACAAAGCAGTATGTATTACACTGCCTGAGTTTAAGATATGTTACTGAGCTATAGTCATTGGCATGATATTGGTATAAAAAAGCAGATTCATAGACAAATGGAACAGGAGACTCCAGAGGTAAATCAACACAGTAAGCTGACCTTTGGCAAAGGTACTAGCAACATGCATTTGGAAAAGGAGAGTATTTTTAATGAACTGTGCTAGAAATTGAATATCCATGTTATGAGAATGAAACTAGAGTCCTATCTCTTACTACTTAAAAAATAAGTAGAAAATGGATTAAATATTTCAATGTGAAATTTAGAACGTTAAGAGTATTAAAACTTAGGGAAAAGCATTTCAGGACATTGGAATGGACAAGGATTTTCTGGATCACACCCTCAAAATCACAGCAAATAAAAGTAAAAACAGACAAATGGGATTCCACCAAACAAAAGCGCTTTCATCATGAAGGAAACAATACATTGAAGAGGCAATCTATGGAATGAGAGAAGACATATTCAAGTGGGCTTGCATATCCAGAATACATAAAAACTCAAGCAACTCAATATGAAACTATCCAGCTGAATTTGGGGACTAGATCTACACAGATAGTTCTCAAAGGAAGACATACAATTGGTCATGAGCTACAGACAAAGTGCTCAACATCACTAATAAGGGAAATACAAATCAAAATCATTATGAGTAGAACCTCAGATTTATGAGATTGGCTATGCTCTCTATAGACACTGAATCTCTAATGTTTTACATTACACTCCTTCACCAGAACAGGAATCCTGAGGAGCCAAGATTCAGTTAAATGAACGGGAAATGGTCAACACATTCAACTCCACTATCTCAAGAGGCTTTCAGCAACTGGAGTGTGAGGGTGTGTAGGTGGGCATGCACACTTCAGCTAGCCAATGCTGTTATCATTCCCTATTACATTGTAAGCTTGCTGGCCAGCTTTGGAGACTGAAGGCTAAGTTTCTACATCCTGAATTAATACAAAGATCTGGATCTGTAAACCTCAAATGTGGCTTCCCAGGTTCACGCTGAGTAACGCAAACTATCCGGGTAGGAGAGTCACTGGCTTTTTTTTTTTTTTTTTTTTTTAAAAAAACAAACCTTGTTTAACGAGTTCTTTAATTCTCCCTGGAGTTCCGACACCTAGATGTACCACACGCTTCTCCAGCAACTTTATTTGTTCCTGGACCTAAGAGAAGGGAAGAGGAGTTATTAAGCTTGTGCAATTGCAGCTCAAAATGGGGCTCCCCTTGTTTATGGTCAACTTTCAGAGAAAAAACAACCATCTCTTCAGAAAAACTGGTAAATCCTCAAGACCCCGTGAGTCAATGCTCGGCCTTAAATAGCAGCAGGGCATGGTGGTACAGGCACTGCTGTGGGGAAGGGGGTACAAGGATGGAGGCACGGGGTTCAAAGAAAACCAGAATGGTTGCTAATAAAGGTCACACAAGGAAGGTACCAAAGAAATCACTTGCTAGATGGAGTAGGAGAACTTGAAGGGAAAAAGCTGAAGGTTTGGTAGGGGCCTTTAGGGACCCCTTCCGTCTCCACCAGGACCCCCCAGAACCTTGCTTACCTTTATGTGTTTTGCAAATAATTTCATAACTTTGCTGTCTCCTTTAAATGCTGTCATTGACCTAATGAAAAGTAATGATGAATACATAAGAAAACTCATTCCAGCCACACTGACTACTTTATCATGTCTTGCTTTACTCAAAGAAAGTAAGCAAATGTATGTATATTTCCACATACACAGAAAATTCCGAGATATTTAAAATAGTCCATCTCTGAAAGGAAAGTAGGTTTACTTTTATTGTGACATCTATCTGTATGCCTGATATATAAAGTTAGCCTATGTTTGCTTCCTTGATTATTAAAATACTCAGATCTACTCTTCATTTATAGAAATACAGAATATGTAAAAATATATAAATTCCATGTATCTTAAAAATAATTCATTGATTATGGCCTCGTACAGGGGCTCAGCCCAGTCACTGTGATGTGAGACTATGGGCCCAGTTCTGATTTTTAGAGAAGCCAGAAATCTAGATTATTATATGCTATCTGACTTTATTTTTTATTTATTTATCTTCATTTTATTTGAAAGAGAAGGGAAGGAGAGAGAGAGAGAGAGAGTAAATGAGAATATTTCTCCCATCTGTTGGTTCACTCCATAAGTACCCTTGATATCTGGGGCTGGGCCAGGCTGAAGCCAGGAGTTAATAAAAGTGTCATCTGGGTCTCCTATGCGGATGACAGAGACCCACTTACTCAAGCCATCGTTTGCTGTGCATTAGAAGGCAGTTAGAATTGAAAGTAAAGCCAGGATTTGAATCCAGGCACTTCAAATGAGATATGGGTGTCCAAAGGAAGATCCTAACTGCTGTGCTGGATGCCTACCTCATACACTAATTGCAAATATAGGCAACAGAGTTCAATTTTTTAGGCACAAAATATTTGTGGGGTAGACTTAACCTCTGAGTGGCTTCCTTACAGGACAGATAGTTCATTTCTTTTCTAGATGCTCAATAATTTGGATCTAACTCAATCCAGAGTTGAAGCATCATTGATCATGACCACAATGACCGGTGTCTTACGAGATTGCTTTCATATCACTTTGGAGCCATTCTCAGCTTGTACCAATGGCTGCTCAGTAAACAACAGTGTTATGCCATTTGTCTTTTTTTTTTTTTTTTTTTTTTGCTTTGTTTTGCAATGTTTTTACTTACTTTTGAGGGAGAAAGTGCTATCTTCCATCTGCTAGTTCACTCCCAAAATGTCTGCTATGACTGGGACTGGATCAGGCAAAACCCAGGAGCCAGAACTCCATTTGGGTCTCCCACCTGGGTGGCAGGGCCCCAGACACTTGGGCCATCTTATTCTGCTTTCCCAGGTTCTTTGGCAGGGAGCTTGATCTGAAGTGCAGCAACTAGGACTCAAACTGGTGCTCTCATGGGATGCTGTTGTCACAAGCAGCTCTACAATGCTGGCCCCTGTTGATCATTTCTTTATGTAGAAACACTGAGGGTGATGCCAGGAGGTTATAGTGGGAAAGCTCTATTTTTCAGAGATATTCATCCCTTCCCTCTTTCTCTAAACTTACAGAATGCCACTAATCTGGTAACTGCTAACGTATTTCAGCCCATCTTGGCTACTGGAAAATGTGGGCCCGTGGTATCTGGGGCTACGTGTACAGCTGAAGAGGGTTTTATGAAGGTCATCTTGAGCACCATTCCTAGGTGGTTTCATTCAATTCAATTTTATCTTCTAAAATTAGCTTATGTTCTTAGCATTTTGGTTCTATGTATGTTTGGAATTCACTGCGATTAATTTGGAACATATATTTACTAGGTGATAACAAAATCGGATTAGTTGGTATTTCTATATCTGTAAGCATTAAGAAAAAAAGTAAAACTTTTGGTTAGCACTCTACCTGATTTTCCTGACCATTTTTTTTTGTTTATTTCCATTTCCCCATCTGTTTTTTATTTATCACCCATTTTCCATGAATGATGATCAAATTGGATTATGTAGTATTTCCATCTCAAACATTTTTTTCCAACTTTTGGTTAACATTCTTCATGTGATATTTGTTTCTTTTTTGTTTCCTTTTTTCACCACCTGTTTTCAATTTATTGTATACATTTCTTTATATCACCAGCAATTCTGTTTTGTGAAGAAGTGGTTATAAGTGAAAACATGATGTTTTAATTTATATTGAAGGGTAGAATTAACTTGGGAATATTACTTTCCTTTATTTACCATTATTATATTTTGAGCAATATTATTTATCAGTGGAAGCATAAAACTTTGCAAAATAGTTAATAATGCTATGTAAGTTTTGTAACAAGCTTTTCCTATAGTATGATGAACTAGAAAGACAATTTAAGTCATGACTGTTAAGAGAACAGACATCTTTAGCAAAGTCAGAATTATTATTTTTTTCCTAAGATTTATTGATTGATTTTTTTAAAAAGATTTATTTTATTATATTTTTATTAGAAAGGCAGATATATAGAGAGGAGAGACAGAGCTTCCATCCGATGATTCACTCCCCAACTGAGCGCAACTGTCGATGCTATGCCGATCTGAAGCCAGGAGCCTCTTCTGGGTCTCCCACGTGGGTGCAGGGTCCCAAAGCTTTGGGCCATCCTCGACTGCTTTCCCTGGCCACAGGCGGGGAGCTGGATGGGAAGCGGGGCTGCCAGGATAGAACCGGCGCCCATATGGGATCCCGGGGCGTGCAAGGCGAGGACCTTAACCACTGAGCCACCGTGCCGGGCCCTTGATTGATTTTGAAAGGCCGAGTTACACAGAGAATAGGAGAGACAGATAAAGAGATCTTCCATTTACTGCTTCACTACCTAAATGGTAACAATGACAAGTACTGGACTAGGCCAAAGCCAGGAGCCAAGAGCTTTATCCAAATATGTCACACAGGTAGCATGGCCCAAACACTTGAGCCATCTTCTGTTGTTTTTCCCAGGCCATTAGCAAAGGAATTGGGATCAGAAGTGGAGCAGTTGGTCCTGATGTGATGGCCTAGTAGCTTAAGTCCTTGCCTTGCATGCGCCAGGATCCCATATGGGGACTGCTTTGTGTTCCAGCTGCTCCGCTTCCCATCCAGCTCCCTGCCTGTGGCCTGGGAAAGCAGCAGAGGACGACCCAAAGCCTTGGGACCCTGTACACATTTGGGAGGCCCAGAAGAAATCCTGGCTCCTGCCTTTGGATCAATTCAGCTCTGGCCTTTGTGGCCACTTGGGAAGTAAACCAGCAGTAGATCTTTCTCTCTGTCTCCCCTCTAGATCTGCCTTTTCAATAAAAATAATAAATAATTGTAAGAAAACAAAAAAGGAAAGAAAAGAAATGGAGCAGTCTGGACACAAACCAGCATCCATACGGGATTCTGCTGTGGGCAGCAGTGGCCTTACCCACTGCACCACAATGCCGGCCCCCCAAAAGTTAAATTTATTAAACATTAGTCTTTATGAATAGGGCTCTTTATGCCTGCTCAGAAATCGCCTTTTGCAAATCACCTAACCCTTAAATAGATCATAATATTATTGGGGACACAGAAAAATATGATTCTGGTAAAGTGTGACAACACAGTGCTTTTGTGCCACTCAGAAAGAAATTTATGTACAAAGCTCAAATCAATTCAGAAAGAAATTTATGTACAAAGCTCAAATCAATTTGACAGTTTGTGTTTACGAGGCCACCTCCAGGTCAGGCTCTTTGGCATTACTGCTTGAGTCTGACATGAGTTCTGTGGTGGCAGTTTCTAAGGCAGTGAGAAGTCACTAGGATTGTGTCTGACTTTAGGAGCAGCGAGCCTAGCTGCCCAGAAGTTCAAGGTTTGGAAATCAGTCATGCTGGAATAGAATTGAGAGTGGAAAGAAACGCTCATTTTGTTGGGAGGCTATTCGTTACAATTTAAAGTGTATGCTAGGGTTGGGGAAGGAGGTTTTGTAGGACTATGGAAATTTAACAACAGCTCTCCTAAATTTCTGATTAGATTAGTTTGTTCAGCAAAACATCTGAGTGCCTGCCTATTGTCTAAGTTAGCACCTTGGTCTGTTTGATCACGTTCATTTTGCTGTTTGACTTGGATTTTCCTGTTTTGTCTTATATCTGACCCAGAGCCTGGGCTAGCCCCAGTTAAGCCCCATCTTACTCTGAGAGCTCTTCAATGAAATGTGAATGTTAGCTTCAACTCAATGGAAGTGTTTTTGTTGATTCTACAGAAATAAAACAAATGAGAAAGAATGTGGAACGCTCTTAACAAATCACTGACAAATTATCTTTAGAACATAATTTTGACATTTAAAATTTTGATCCATTCGGAATTTATCTTGGAGTAAGAAGTGAAATGAGTTCATTTTTTCCCCCAGGTGGTTACCCCATTGTTGTTATCCTATTTATTAAAGAATCCATCTTTCTGAACTGATTTCTGATTCATCACCTGAAGCATAGGCTACGTTTTCATATGTATTGGGGTCTATATGACCTTTCATTTCTGTTGCACTCATCTGATCTTGTCCGTCACACATGTGCCAGCTGTACACACTTGTAACCCGAGAATAGTATCTGCTTATTACATTCCTTTTTCAGACTTTTCCTGCCTAGTTTTAGTTGTGCATTTTCCCATATGAATTTAGAGTTAGTTTATCTAGATTTAAAAAATAATTTAAAAATACTGGGTATTTATAAAATTTGTAGATTATCCAAAGCAGAGATCTTTTCTCCATTGAGTTATCCTACTTAAGGTACACATTTCTGTTGGTTCAGTATTTTTGTTTCTCTTATGTGATGTTTTATATAGAGTTTTGTCACTTAACTCTGAGAAGGTAGAAAGATCTTCCATTTTCCCTTGTTACTGGCAGCTTTAGATTGGTCTCTCTGCTTTTACCCTCACTCTCCGCAATGTACAATCCCCACACAGCAGCCAAAGCAATCTTTTCAAATGGGGGTTCAGGTCATTGGACTCTTCTACTCAGAATGGGTGTCTCATGTTAGTCTTGTGTTTACCAATCTCTTTACAAGGATGCTCTCCATCTGGTCACTTTGTTCAAGTCCCTCCTCAATGCTATCTCTTTAGAGAAGATTTTTTAAACTAGCCCACATCTACTCTGTCCCCTAGCCTTGCTTTTTTTGTCTTTACATAGTTTAGCACTATACCTGACATTTATAATGTGTATTCATAGATGCTGTTTGTGATGCTCGACTTACAATATGATCTGCCTTAAATGTGTCCAGAACAGTTACAGAGGGCTTCTAAATATTCATTGAAAATGCAAAGCATCTTTTAATTTCACTTTCTCACATTTTCTGAAGTGCCTTTGTATACAGGGTTACAGTTATGCAGAATCACTCAATACAAAGCCTGTTTCATAATAACGTATTGAATATATCATGTGGCTTAACATATAGCTCCTCCTAAATGCATATTGCTTTTACATCATCCTAAACTAAACAAGTCCATTAGTCATTAATTGTTGGAGATCATCTGTACGTGTTTGTTATCTGTCCCCTCCACTGATTATAAATTCCATGAGGCTAGGGGCTCTGTCTGTTTTGTTCATTGATATCTCCGATACAATGGAACATGCCAGCTTGGCATGTATTAGTTACTCAGAAAACGTTTACAACACAGAACAGGTGACACCTCTAACCTAATGAGCTCCAGGGTGCGGATGGCAGAGCTGCAGATGATCAGCATTAGGACGGATTTCTTCTCACTGTGGTTTTTCCGAAGTTTTACCCACTTAGGACAAACTGAAAAAAAAAAAAAAAGACCATCAAAGAAAGTACTCTAAATATAGCAAAATAGTGCCCTAAGAGTTGAGTGTTCTTTAGTTATTTCTTTGTTAGTATTTAAATTAAATATATAATTCTATTTTAATTATAATTCTGTTATCAGGTTATTTTAGATACTAGAATTGAAATGAAATACCATTAATCTACAACAGAAAATATATACCAAGTCAAGTATCTAAAGGTGACTACTTTTAAAACCAAGTAAAAAGAATGGAATAATACATTTTCTATATTTTAATTTATATTTCATGCTTGAATGGAATAGGAAAAGAGTTTTGATTCAATAATGTTAAATTTCAAGATACTCAGCATAAAATATAAAGTAGAACTGACATTTATATGATAGCAAACATTATGCTTAATGCTTTACATATATCTTCCCTTCCAGTTTCATAATCCAGTGAACTTTATTTTATCATTATGTAGATTTACTATTGCAGAATTAGATGCTGAGAAAAGTTTATGAACTCAGGTGTGTCATCAAAATTAGTTATAGTCTGACAGAAAAATGTTGATTTCTACATCGAAATATTTCACTGCTGGCCACAAATAATTCACCACTTGGCATGAAAAAATCTAGTTATTTTTGGTTATACACTGCACAAATCAATTTAGATTGACCATGTGAATTTCAGAATATCAAAGCTGGAACAGAGACCACATAGTCCAACTTCTTTGTTAGTTCAGAATTAGTTCAGATAACTAATTCAAGTACAGCAGAGTACTCAGTAACTTATCCCAGTTGAAACAGAAAATTAAGAAAGAGCCTGAAGTACAGCACTATTCTCTAGATTTGTAGATGAATGTTTCTGATGTGTTGTAAAACAAAAATACCACCAAGACACAACCCCCAAAGTCACAGCAAAAACAAGAAAAAATTAAATTATGAGCCAATATTAACACAGACTTAAAAACATTGTTCCATTTAAAAATCCATTTGAAGTGGAAACATTTGAAAGTAAATTTAAAAGTTTTAATTTTAAAGAAACAGACCTTGTTGTTATAACACATTGAAAAAAGTTTTTCAAAAAATTGGAGTTTACTTACTTTCTTTTAGGTATGATGAAAGACTGTGAGTCAGATCATTGGCCTTGAGGAAACAAGAATCTAGAAACATGAGAAATATATTTTTGTAGTCATTTTTGCAAATTTATACACAATCAAGATAAATTCAACGTGAATGAAGGATTGCTGAATAAATTGGTGAACTGAAGACTCAATATATTATGGTATCATCTAATAATTTAAATAATAGCAACACTGAAGCTGCCAATCATTTTAGAGTAGTGAAATACAGAAATTGGTTATGTCATTCAATGAACAAACTAAACACCTTTATTTTTCAAATTCACAGATTGGCAATAGGCAAAGCAATACGACTAACACATTTATAGAAACAAGGTTAAACCTACTAGTGATTAAAGAAGTGCAAATTAGTACAATAATGAGATAACATATACTTATTGTGATGGCAAGTGTCAGAAAGATGTACAGTGATATTGGGAATGTAAAGTGATGAGAGTGGGTGTGTAAATTGGTAATAGGAATTCTGGAAAGTAGTAATATTAAAATGGATGTACCCTATGACTCCATAATTTAATTTCTTAGTAAATAATGGAAGGACATTCTTGCGCAGTCTTTACAGATGTATACATAAGGGTATTTATCCTGGCTTCATTTGTCACACCAGGATGCAGGAAACAAGCCAGGGGTCTGTAACTGAACAAATGAATGAGTAATTTGTGGTAGATGCAAATGCAAGACCTCTATGTAGCATTTAGGAGCAATGAACTAGATGTGCATAAAATTACACAGGCAGATCTAGAAGTGTCTGATGAAGAAAAGAATGAGGAGATCAGCGCATCACTTAGAACACATTTTAAAATAGATATACATACGCAGCATGACAAATTTTACAAGAATGCCCACACATTTTAAAGTGTGAATTAATAGAATACCTATGAGGAAGGAAAAATAGAGCATGAATTGGAGAAAAATGGGAAGAATTTATTGAAATACAATAGAACAGCATAAAAGGAAACACATTAAAAGGAAAAAGGGGTCTTGCCAATCAATATGACCATGATTTTTAGTGACTATTTGGTATCAACTGTGAGCAGTGGTGAAGACACCACCTGGGATGCCCACAATCAAGTCCCACCACATTCCTGGTTCCACCTTCCTGTTGATGCGCACCCTAGGAGGCAGCAAGTGATAGTTTGAGTACTGCCATCCTTGTGGAAGACCTGGCCAGACTTACAGTCCCCCGCTTTCAGCCTGGCCCTGCATTTGGGGAGTAAACCCGCAGGTGGGCGATCACTATCAGTTACTCTCAAATAAACTGAAAATGAAAAATTGTAAAAATTTAAAAATGAAAAACATCTAGGGTATCAGGATACTTTGTTACATAAGGAAAAATTTGTTCAAAAGCCAACATACTAAGTAGCAAACTTAACATATAAGCAACATGAAGTAGTACACTTCTAAATTAAATGCAATTTGATTATGTAGGTGATTCACTTCACTGCTGCTTCTTGAACTCCTTATGGGAGCTTTGATGGCATTTCAGATTGCAATTTCTCAAGCCTGTATATGATCAGATTCACCTGAAGAGCTTTATAAACAACACAGATCTTGGGATGGACTCTCTTTTGCACAATGAGTCAGAATCACTTGTGAGTGGGCTTGTGGATCTGCTTTTGAAAGAGGTTCCTGGGTAATCGGACTGCTTCTAAGCCTACTGGCATTTTCAGGAACCACTGATCTAAACCACACGGCAGCTCTCAGGAGTCAGCAGAGAGGTTAATTAGCTCCAGATGACTCTGGCCTCAAACCCTAATTAAGTAAGTGGCCATGTGCATGATATTAACAATGTGCAGTGCACAATATTAATTGAAAAGACTGTTCCTGCCCTACAGACACAAACAAATCAAAACCAAGTTACACTCTCCACTAAACAGGAACAATATTTTAGTATTTATATCCATTACACATGTATGTATATGTAACTATATATGTAACTTTTTGAGCCCATTCACTTAACTCACATAGCTGACTGCCTCTGTCCTTGATCTCATCAGTGTATGACCAGGGCCTTTCCGCCTGTACCTTCCTATGATGCCTCAGTTGATCATGTTTCACAATGCCCTCCTTTCTTAACTGAGAATACAAATCTGTTCTTCAAATCTGCTATAATAGTATTTCCATATACTTTCCTTCTTCCTTCAACTAATGGCCACACATTCTCATTTAACTGTACTAATGAGTCCCCTTCCACCCCCAAAAAGTCCACAGGGCCCAGCACTTTATGACTAAATCCTCGTTTTGCAAGTACTGGGATCCCATACGGGAACTGGTTCATGTCCTGGCTGCTCCACTTCACATCCAGGTCCTGCTTGTGGCCTGGGAAAGCAGTCAAGGATGGCCCAAAGCCTTGGGACCCTGCACCCACATGGGAGACCCAAGGGAGGCTCCTGGCTTTGGATTGGCTCAGCTCTGGCCATTGTGGCCACTTGGATAGTGAACCAGTAGATGGAAGATCTTTCTGCCTCTCCTTCTCTCTGTAGAGCTGATAAATCTTTAAAAAAAAAAAAAAAACAAAAAAACACCACAACACAAACTCACTAACGAATGCAAATGGCTTTTTTCTTTTAAAGATTTATTTATTTATTTATTGGGAAGGCAGGTATACAGAGAGGAGCAGATACAGAGAGGAGAGACAGAGAGGAAGATCTTCCGTCCGATGGTTCACTCCCCAAGTGACCACAATGGCTGGAGCTGAGCCAATCCGAAGTCAGGAGCCAGGAGCTCATCCAGGTCTCCCATGCGGGTGCAAGGACCCAAGGCTTTGGGCAGTCCTCGACTGCTTTCCCAGGCCACAAACAGGGAGCAGGATGGGAAGCAGGGCCGCCAGGATTAGAACCGGCGCCCATATGGGATTCCGGAGCTTGCAAGGTGAGGATTTTAACCACTATGCTATCGTCCCGGGCCGGCAAATGGCTTCTTAAAGGTTGTTATGACCTTGAAGTCTCTAGTTCTAGAGAAATCAAGGTTTACAATGTTCCACAAGGTTATAGAGTAATGGTGCTCCAATCAACTCACAACTCGACTAAGTTGAAGGTTATGCCCTAACACAATTGATCACTGAGTTACAATCAACCCCAATCTTCAGCTAAAAAGAGGAATCACCCATTGTGGTCTTTGATTCCTGTGACAGTGAAGTGAGGGCATGCCTGCCACACTGGTATACCGAGGGGAATATTTTCCAACTGCCCTGGGACGCGTCTGAGCTCAGTGAGCTTCAAACTCCAGCCCTTGCTCATGTGAAAATGAACCCTTTCAATTCCCTACAGGTCAGTTTTTTGTTTTTGTTTTTGTTTTTTTAAAGAAACAGGTATTCATGGCTTACAGTCCAATATATGCACTTCTTAAAAAAAAAAGGAAAGAATATCACAAAAGAATTATAAAAATCCAGGGAACCAACTGCTTTACAGCTTCTCAAGCTTCCAGAAAGCATAACTTTGTAATGGAAAAAGGAAATCAAATTACCTTTAACTTTTTCCAAGAAGAGTATTTGACACCCATTGCTTATAAAGAGGTCATCTGAAGCAGCAGTACCCAAACTGGTTATAGTTTGATTTTACAACATCATCTATTTTCTGCAAATCTTGCTAAAAACTTACAGGATATAATTTTGAGACTGATTGAAGTCAGTTGTTTAAAAGATCTTTTAACTTAATTACAAATACTCTGAGGCAACAGATCTCAAAGTATAGCAGTTTTAAAAATCGCCTATGTAAGGTGTCACCCTTGTTAAAAAAATGCTGATTTTGTTCCTGTTATTGGTTTATTTGAAAAAGTCTGGGCTATGATGCAAGCCACTTCTCTGAAAAGAAAACTATAGCTAGTAAGCCATGTTAAACGCAACCAAACCTAGGTAGTCATTAAGACTGAAGTCCTTGTCTATAAAGTAAATCAAATTTTGCATTCAAAAAATTTCTATTTGAAAGTATTATAGAGAAAATGAGATTGTCCGCCTTTTGGTTCATCCCCAGACTGCCCAAACTGACAGAGCTGAGCCAGGCTGAAGCCAGGAGCTTTGTTCATGTTTCCCATGTGGGCAGTAGGGCCTTTTCTGTTGCTTTTCCTAGGCCACTAGCATTCAGCTGGAGTGGAAATCAGGAGTGGAGCAGCTGGGAGACTAATCAGCATCCACATTAAATACTGGCAGTTGTAGGCCTTGGTTTTACCAACAGCCATGCCATAATGTCAGCTCTCATAAGTATATGAGAGAGGTGGGGGGTAGGAGGTGGGAGAGGGAGACAGAGATCTCTTATTACCTGGTGAACCAACCAGAGCTGGGCCAGGGTGAAATCAGGAATCATGAACTCAACCCAGGTTTCTGCTGAGGGTAAGGAGACCCAACTACTTGAGCCATCACAGCTGCCTCCCAGGGTTTGCACTAGAGGAAGCTAGAACCAAGCTCAGAGCTGGGACTCAAAGCCAGGCACTGCAGGATGTGATGGGAGTGTCCCAAGCGGTGCCTTAACTGATGTAGCAAATGCTGGTCCCACATGCATGCCTCTAAATGTGTGTTTTAGCTTTATTTTAACTTATATTATCATTAGGGATTCTAAATCTTTAGAGTCTACTGGAAGAACAAAAAAGGATATCCAACAACTTCCAAAGAAAAAGAAAACATAATCACAAATCTTACTATGTGATGGTGCAGTGGCATAACAGACTGACCCTCTGCCTGTAATGCTGGCATTTCATATGGCATTGGTTTGTATCCTGACTGCTCCACTTCTGATACAATTCCCTGCTAATGGCCTGGGAAAGCAGTGGAGGATGGCTCAGGTCCTTGGGCCCCTGTACCCACATGGAAGACTTGGAAGATGCTCTTGGCTCCCAGCTTTAGACTGGCATAGCTCTGACTCTAGAGCTCATTTGGGGAGTGAACAAGCAGATGAAAGATCTCTACCCATCACTCCCTCTCTCTCAGTAATTCTGTTAAGTAAAATAAATAAATCTTCATAAAAATATTTAAGTTACTGCTTTGCATTTTAATGAACAAGTTACTGGTAATTACAACTATGTCCAGGGGAGGGTGTTGATGACAACATCCCAAACTGGCCACAGTTTGTATCCTGGTTTCTTCACTTTCATCCCACTTCCCTGCTGATGGCCTGGAAAAGCAGCAGAAAAATGGGATTTCAGATGTGGGAGACCCAGATGAAGCTCCTGGCTCCTGTCTTCAGGCTGGTCCAACAATGGCCATTGTGGCCGTTTGAGGAGTGAACCAGTGGAAGAAAGATTCTACCTCTCCTTCTATAACTCTGATTTAAAAAAAAAAAGCCCCAAACAAAACCACTTGTTAACTGAAGAAGTTCAGCATATAAAAAAAAAGCATTTATTTACTGATTCACTGTCTGAGACCCCTACCCATAACAATGGAGGGACTTCATAAAGTTCATTAAAAATGAAGTTAGAAGATAATTTTGCTTCAAAAGTTTTTGAAATCTATGTAAGTCTTCATACACTTTATGAAGACCCCATGAATACATGACATTACTTCTCACTTCATTTTCCATTGATTTTTGAAAGTACTTTTACAAAATTTACTCTTATTTTTGGGAAAATTGAAGGTGATACCTGGTAGGTTTAGTTCTTCTAATTCAATCACCGAGCGACTGCTGCTGTAATAGTCCTTCATCAGCTTCTGTAGATCTTCAGGTGTGCCTGGCTTGGGCTCTGATTTTGCAAGAATATCAGTGATTTTCTTCTAAGATATGAACAGGAAGGTAAATGAAAAAATACATTATTTTAGCAATTGCCCACAGATAAATTTCTGTGTTGTTTACAATGGGTGTAGCTTTTGGAAAGAACCAAGTATGAATGTCACTTCTACATGAAACTCTTGGAGATCCTATTCAATATTCTGGTTTATAATTATTCCTTTGAAAAGCGAACATATGATTTGAAAAATTCTTTGAAACTCCTAGTCTAGGACTTTTGGGTGAAATGAAATTTCTGTAGAATTCTCCATCGTAGGGTAGGGTAATATTTTCTGTTAAAAGTTAAGCAATCGTGTTGCTATGGAAAATTCTTCTTAAGTTTTAGATGATTTCTGTTACTGGAAGAACAGCCCGAGAATTTCTTATCTAATCTGATTTTTGAGGCCTTAGTTCTCAGTTTGGACTTTGGACATTAGAGTGAATCCTGCAGGAATAATCAAAGCACAAAAGCCTAGTGGAAAGGGGGGATTTACACTCCCTAATCTCAAGCCTTGGGACACTGATGAGTCTTAAAATGGTCCCACAGAAAGAACAGTTACAGGAAATGCCTCCCAGCATCCTTTTCTAATTTGAATTATTGTGTGCAGATTTCATTAAATATCTATAATGTTGCAAAAAAAATGTTTAAGTTTCATCATATACGTCCCTTCTTACATCCTTCAAATGCACCCCTGAAGGCCCACTCTTCCCAGCCTTTTTCCCTTTCTCCAATCCCCTCATTTACATGCCAGTGCCAAGAATGATCAAGGTCTGTCAAAGGAATTAGCTCTCAAAAATATGTCATCAGTGGGTGCATTTTAGCATGATCTCAGCCAAGAGTAAACTCACTCAAGTTCTGACCTTGAGTCACCATAACTTAACACTCTCAAAGGGCTTTAATGTACAAACTATCAAAGAGAAGTCTAAGTCACTTCTTTAAGGTCTTGCCAAACCTCAGCCAATTTGGCATCTCCTATTTTCCTATTTGGCCATTTGCGAGAAAAGAAAACAAAGGCACACACACTCTGCAAGTCTGCCGTTAAGGAACTGCTTTGAGTCTCTCTTCTTCCCTCTAATCCCAATCATATTTCCTTTGCTGACTTCAGCAATGGGCCTTGCTTGGCAAGCAGAGAATTATACTGCTGTTTTCATAGCAGTGGTGAGAGCTGAAAGCTAACCATAGTTTCTTCAAGGCCGAACTGTAAAAAAGGGTTGCACAGGAACAACAGTCTTCCCCGTGCTTAGTCAAGTATTAGAACAGAGGAGAGCTTTGACCTTAACTTCTGGTTTCAAATTAGAGTCAGAAATGCTTTTTACTACCTTCATCTGCTTATTATTTTGTTTTGATTAATATTTTAAGGTACTGGATCTTAACAACTGAAATAAGTAGAAACAAAAGGTTGGTAAGTTTCTTTTCTTGGACAGAGCAAGAGGGGGGGAAGGTAAGTCCTGGGTTCCTTCTAGAATTAGAAACCATGTCTAATTAGAATTAGAATTGATCCCCAGTGAAATCACAGAGTGGCCAGCAAAGACATGTGGTGCTCCGCAAAGCAGAAATAAGAGTCAAAGAATTTAGATTTACAGGCTTTGATAGATACACTTATTACTAGGTACCTTAGGAAAGTCACCAAACCTCACTGATTCCCACAATTGCTATGTCTCTAATGAGATTACAATAGTCATTTCATCGAAGTATGATTTATAAAAATATGATGGAAGGCATTGGGCATACCTTTTTCCTCTTCTTAGTCTTGGTGGCACCCTCTTTTGTTTCCTTTGGTTGAATTAAGAAACATTCTTTAGGCTACAAAGAAAAAGGAAAAAGAATAACCCATAAATGAGAGAACTTTGTTTTCTATACAATGAAATGTGTATTAATGATATGAAACCCAAAGTGCTTTCTGCCACACATCTTTTCTTCAGAGTATTTCACAGAAAGTATCTGACAAAAAGAGATGTTGAAGGATCCACTGTAGTTTATTATGCAGGGAATAAACTGAGAGTATCTCAAAGTAAAATAGTGCAGATGACTTAACACCAGAACATCTTTGAACAAGGAATAACTTATTTGACTGGATATGTATGTGTACTTTGTATATGCAGGGTATTAAAGTTTGAAGAAAATGGCCAGTGTTGTGAAAAAAAAGGGGGGGGGAAGGTGGCAAAGACATATATGTGATTAAAATTAAAATGTGGGATCCGGTGTGATAGTGTAGTGGTTAAAGTCCTCGCCTTGCACACACCGGGATCCCATATAGGCACCGGTTCTAATCCTGGCAGCCCCACTTCCCATCCAGCTCCCTGCTTGTGGCCTGGCTCCAGTGGGCACAGCTGAGCCAATCCAGAGCTGCTTCTGGTCTTCCACGCTGGTGCCAAGTTTTTGGGTCATCCTCTACTTGTTTCCAAGGCCACAAACGGAGAGCAGGATGGGAAGTGGAACAGCTAGAACATGAACAGATTCCCATGTGGAAATCCTAGCAAGTGCAAAGCAAGGATTTCAGTCTCTTAGCCCGTGCTAAGACATGGGCAGGCCCGTGATTTATTTTTTTAAGGCAAATTTACAGAGAGAAGGAGAGACAGAGAAAAAGATCCTCCATGGCTGGTTCACTTCCCAAATGGTCTCATTTGGATGGCCCAAAGCCTTGGGTCCCTGCACCTGCATGGGAGACCTAAAAGAAGAGCTCCTGGTTCCTGGCTTCGGATTGGCTCAGCTTCAGCCATTGCAGTCACTTGGGCAGTGAACCATTGGACAGAAGATCTTTCTCTCTGTCTCTCCTTCTCCTCTCTATATCTGCTTCTCCAATAAAAATAAATAAAATATTTAAAAAATATTAAAATGTGGTAAGATAATTTTTGATGGAGTGGGGTTCTCCATGTGTGTCAGCCCACGTTTCAGTCACCATGCCAGTCATTCCTTTCCTCTTTTCAATAAGCATAGAAAATCTAACATAGGATATATTCATGTGTGCTTTTACAAGACCAGCAGAACAAAATGTATTTTTAAAAGAGATTCCAAAATGAATGTCTCTGTAACGGTCTGATAACAGCTCTCAGCACCATGGCAGCCAGAGTCATCTGTTTGGCCTGGTGCAATGACCCCTGAGCATCCTACACAGTGTAGGGCTATTTTTACCCTGAGGGTTTTTTTTCATGTTAAAAAAAAAAACAGGAAATTTGGACTAAGACCTTGGCTTATAAAATAGAATGCCTCAGATTCCATATTTATTCATCATAAGCAGGAATATAAAATGTTTCCTGTGCTTTTAAGCAACATTTGCAAACAGGTTGCCAAAGGAGATTTAAAATATAAGTGTAATTTATTCGGAGTTTTCTCTTGAGTTTTTATTAGAACTAGAGAACACTCTAGTTTTCAGTTGGTAAATTGCTAACTAGAGTGATCTTGTCTCCACTGGGCTCTCTTTAAGATGATCACAGATGAATCTTTCTATGAAAGCTTGCAGACAGCCTGCAGATTAAGAATGCCTATGGCCTGAAGTCAGAGAAAGATAGAATGCTACATAATTTCTTCAAGACATTGGGCCAGGGATCAGCAGTTTCTAGACTATTGCAGTTATTGGAGACAGACTTCAAAGGGTCAGGATTAAAATAACATGGGAATGTTGAAATTTTAGCCTCTTCCCAATTATAACCAAAAACCTACAAAGACCAATTGCATCATAGCTAAAGAAAAGATAGTATGATCTTTTCATTTAGAAAGCTAAGCTGTATCGGGGATGTTGCTACATGCCAATTTGATGCTGCTACGTGCCAATCTGAAACTGGGCTGTGGCCCCTAATAAGTCACAGAAGCAGCCAGATGGCCCAAAGAGTCCAGTTACAGAGCAGGTCGTCACTCAGCCAGGCTTCCCCAGGCAAAGGCCTGAACATGCTTAGCAGAAGCCTTATGCTACTCTGCAGTGTCTTTACCAACATCAAAGCTTTGGTGAGGCAGATTTAGAAAACGATTACGTTTTCTTATTTTAGCCCATGCAGATGCTTTCTAGGAGTATATTCAACATGCTGGTTTTATTCCTCCTATTTACAGAACCAATGAATTCAAACAGAAATCTAGAAATGAGCTCAGTTACAAGGATACTAGCACTTTAATGATTAAGCAAATATGAAAATGAAACACGTTCAGGAAAAAAAGAGAATAGCTTTCTGCAGATTACAAATCAGGTTTAAGTGTGAACTTCACATTCTTAGATGTTCCTAAAGGAAATGTCATACATTTGTTTTCTGATACCAGTTCCCTTAGCTGGTCAGCATAATGGGGTCCATGTCCATACATCTGAGGTAGCAGCCTGGAGAAATCTGAATGCACAGCATCGAGCATTCTTACATTTAGTCAACTGCTTTACCAGTGCTGATGTTTACACTCAGAGATACCATGGAAGATGGTACAGGCGTTTGAGGTCTGCTTACTGTTTCTGGAAGCCAGTTCCAATACTATATGACTGACAGTTGATAAGTAACGTTTCTTGATTTGAAATGTAGTAATCTTAAATACAAAGTATGCAGCTGACTTCCAAAAAAATTTGTGAAAAACAGAATTGAAAGAAAAGTTTATTTTAGTGCAAAATTTTTTAAATCCATGCATACTTATTTGTCCCATAATGTGTTTGTGGCCTGGGAAAACAGTCGAGGATGGCCCAAAGCCTGGGGACCCTGTGTCTATGTGGGAGACCCAGAAGAAGCGCCTGGCTCCTGGCCTTGGTCGGCTCAGCTCTGGCCATTGCAGCCACTTGGGAACTGGACCAGCAGATGGAAGATCTTTCTGTCTCTCCTCCTCTCTGAAAATCTGACTTTCCAACAAAAATAAATAAAATCTTTTAAAAAAAATCAATAAGTTTGTGCACAAGTAGTTTCCATGATCTTAAAAAAAACAATAATTTATTTGAAAGGCAGAGTTATAGAAACATATACACACACAGGAAAGGAGGGAGGGAGAAAAAGGAGGAGAGAGAGGTAGAGAGAGAGAAGAGAATGATTGATTCCATCTGCTGGTTCACTCCCCAAATGACTACAACAGCCAGGGTTGGGTCAGATCAAAGCCAGAACCAAGAGCTTCTTCCAGATCTCCCCTATAATGCAGGGGTCCAAAGACTTGAGCTCCCTTCTGCTGCTTTCCCAGGCACATTAGCACATTAATGGAAGTGGAGCAGCCAGGATTTTAACTGGCACCTATGTGGGTTGCTGGCATCACAGGCAGCTTTGTTACAATGCCAGCCTCTCTGTGAACTTATTAATGCACTTCTCTTCAATATAAATAGACAGCTAAGGCTCAGATGTGTAAAGAAAGTACAAAATAAACAACATAAAGATGAAACCAGAGGGAAATGGGAGAATTTTTAAAAACAATTATAATATTCTCAGAGAGATTAAAGAAGATTTTGCTACCACGAAGCAAGAACAGGATGTTAAAAAAAATACCTGGAAGTGAAGATACATTGCAGCATGCATCTATACTCCTGAACAAAAGGAGGACTCCCAATTAAAATGTTAAATAAATCTTGGTAATATATGACTAGATTTTCTACCATTGCCTATACCTATAATGCCATGATACACTTAAATAGCAGAATGTTAGACTTGTGACTGTAGCTGAAGCACTATACCATTGTAATAATAAGGGCAAAATAGTTGGCAGGGGAAGGAATGGGAAAGGAGGAAGAGCATGTGGAGGGGAAAATTCACATACCTATAAAAGTGCATCATGAGAAATAATTAAAAAATAAAAAGAAAGTAGAAAACATTTAAACATTAAAACAAATAAAGTTGTAATAAAAGCATAAGAGAAAATCTTGAAGATTTAAGCAGACTATCATAACGAGGTAAAAAATGGAAGGAAAAACATGGTAAGAAAATGAGAGAATCAGCCTGAGTCAACATTCCTATAAAAGGTTTCACAGAGGAATAAGTCATGTAAAATAATAAAAGAGTGATTAAAGAAATAATCCAAGAAAAGCTTTCTAGAACTAAAGGACGCTTTTTAGAATATGAAACCCCAAATTAAGAAATTCCGAAGTCGGAGCTAATGTTGTGGTATAGCAGGCTAAGCCTCTACCTCTGACTCCAGAATCCCTTATGGGATCTGTTGAGTTTCAGCTGCTCCACTTCCAGTATAGCTTCCTGCTAATGTGTCTGGGAAAGCAGTGGAACATAGACCAAGCACCTGGACCCCTTCACCCATATCAGACACCTGGAAGACGCTCTGGGCTCTGGCTTTGATCTGGACCTGACCTGATCATTGCGACCGTTTGAGGAGTGAACAAATGAATGGAAAGATTCTCTCTATTTCTCTCCTCCTCCCTCTGTAGCTCTGCCTTTCAAATAAATAAATCCCGAATCTTTAAATCAGAAAAATACACAACTTACATCAATGTAAATTTTTAGAAAATCATGGACAAAGGGAAGATTTAAAAATGTCCAGAAAGAAAAATAAACACATACAAAACAAAGATTAGGAAAAATAAGTGTGTCAAGACTTCTCAACAAAAATAATGACTACTAGAGTCTAGTGGAATGATGCCTCCAAAATTATAAGTGATGTTTATTTGTAAATAGATTTTTATACCCAGCCAAAGTACCAATCAAGTGTATAGTTAGAATAAAGATATTTTGGATATTTAAGGCCTAATTTTTCCTTTATGCAGTTTTGATGGCTGTATTCCAGCATTAAGGGCTCAACTGAGACAAAGGAAATTATAGGATCTAGCAAAAAGAGTGCAATCAAAGAGTTATTGTAAGGGCATCCCAGAATGACAGTTAAGAGGTCTCAATTGTTCAGTAGGGCTGGAGAGT